TGGGCTCGCCAAGATACCCCTCCTCCTCCTCCTCCTCCTCCTCCTCCTCCTCCTCCTCCTCCTCCTCCTCCTCCTCCCCCCCCCCCCTCCTCCTCCTCCTTCGCCCTCTTCCTCCTCCTCTTTGTCCACTGTCGCTTCCTCCTTCCTCCTCTTCGCCCTTCTCCTCCTTTTCCTCCTCCTCCTTCTCCTCCACCATCCTCCCCCTCTTGGGGTATCGGACGGCTTCCCCCGCCCTGTGTTCTTCCGCATGCTCCCCCACTTCCCTGATCACCTCAACCCCCCCTGGACAACGTTTCTGGATGGGCTGGCGGGAATACGCGAGGCGTCACCTCTTTTCTCATTGTTCCTCGAAGGATGGACCGGCGCCTCCTCCAGGCAAGGGCTAGAGGCCTAGTAGATGGGGTCCGAGTAGGTGGGGTCGGGGGATCGCGTGCAGGGTGGCCCGCATGGATGATTTCCTGAGGGGAAGAACCCCCAGCATTATCCAGGCCGCCCAGCAATAGAGGGAAAATCATCTCCGCCGCGATGACGACGACGACGACGACGACGACGACGACGACGACGACGACGACGACGACGACGACGACGACGACGACGACGACGACGACGACGACGACGACGACGACGACGACGACGACGACGACGACGACGACGACGACGACGACGACGACGACGAACGACGACGACGACGACGACGACGACGACGACGACGACGACGACGACGACGACGACGACGACGACGACGACGACGACGACGACGACGACGACGGGGGGCGAGCTCATTCCCCGCCGAGAGAAACAGGGGGGGAGCAACACTAAAGATCTCCTGGGATAGAAGCCTCCCAGATAGGGTCCGAGCTAAAGATGTCGGAGGATCGCGCCGCATCGCCGATGCATCCCCGATGCACTGGCGATGCGTCGGCGACGCTGGCGATGCATCGGCGACGTCGGCGTGGACAAATTGGGCTCCGCATCGCGCCGGCATCGCAGACGCATCGGCGATGCGGCGCGACCCTCCGTCCTCTGAGTGTTAGGCCCGGAATTCTAATGGGAGGAAGCCCCCCTCTGGTAAGGCTTCGGGTGGCGTACAGCCCTCGACCTCCACCTTCCGAACCTTCCGCGCAGCAGGTGCCGCCGCGGCGCGGCCGCAGCGACCGCCGAGACCGCCGCTGCGGCCTGTACGGCGGCCGCCTCTGCGGCCGCGCTGGCGGCTCTCGCTGCGCGGCACCTGCCGTCCGGAAGGTGCGGAAGGTGGAGGGTCGAGGGAAAGGGGCCCCGAAAGGGGCCTTTCCAGGCACAGAATCTTTGTTTGACGCGAAAGGGGTAGCGTTCTCCCCCCCCCTCAATAATTCGCGCCCAAAACCCTGCGGCGCGGACCGCCCCAGACTCGCCGCTAGAGGCGGCGAGACCGCCCTGGACTATAGACTCGGGGGAGCCTGCGGAGGCCAGCTCGGACAGCCGCGGGGGATGTGTTCGGACCAGCCAGCGCCAGGGCTCATTTCGATTCCTCCGATTCGATTCGACTTCGATGGCCTCCGACTCCGATTCGTATCGACTTCGGACTTCGATTTGGATTCCGATTCTTGTCTGGAGGCCTACAAGCCTGCCGATTTCTGCCGATTCGACTTCTCCCGACGTGGCTGCCGATTTCCGCCGATCCGATCCATTCCGATCGCCGATCCGACTTGTCGATGCGACGATTCTGGGCTCTCCCGCAGCACTGCCTGGGGGGGGGGCTGTCAGTGCGCAGCCCGAAGCCTTACCGGGGGGGTCCTCGCATTCCAATCCCTGGCCTGGCATCTTCGGTGCATCTCCCATGCACGGGCGTCCACGCCGATCCCCGAGGCTTGCCGCTACCGACCCTCGACCCTCCACCTTCCGCACCTTCCGGACGGCAGGTGCCGCGCAGCGAGAGCCGCCAGCGCGGCCGCAGAGGCGGCCGCCGTACAGGCCGCAGCGGCGGTCTCGGCGGTCGCTGCGGCCGCGCCGCGGCGGCACCTGCTGCGCGGAAGGTTCGGAAGGTGAAGGTCGAGGGCTCGCGTCCTAAAAACCCCCCTTCTGGGCCCGAGAAGGCCCCTCTCGGGGGCCCTGAAAGGCCCCTTTTCTGCAGTCCTCACTCCCCCACCCATCTTTCGCCTCCCAAAGGTTGGGATGTTGAGACCGCCGGGACTATCGGGGGGGTCTCTCGGCAGCCCGAAGCCTTACCCGCCCCTCCCCCGTCCTCTCTCAGAGGGGGGGACCAGCGCTCCTGGCGGAAAGAGGCATACTATTCTCCCCCGCGGCTGCGGCGGCTACGGAACTGCGGCGATGTTGCTCCTGCTGCCTGCTATGATTTGTGGCCCGGGCGATGTTGGGTCGCCCACGCATGCATTCTGCTCGCCCCCCCTAAAAACGACTTGCCTATAGCTCTTGATCTCACATCAACGGGGGGGGGGGGGGGGCATGAGACGGGCGGGAGGGCGACGACACGCACGCATTTCTTGCGTCCTTTGGGCCCGCGGTGGCAGTTTTTGGGGGGGGCCATCTGCATAGGTTGAGCAGGGGCCGACCGTCCCGGCATTCCTATAGTCCTACCACGGCATGTTCTTAGAACCCGAAGATGCTCTAAGATCAAAAACAATGTTCTTAGAGTATTAGCCCGATGTGTTAAAACAAGACAGCCTCAACCAGAAATATCATAAGAGCATTTCGTGGAAACCACAAAAGGTTCTTAGAACATTGCTTGGTAGGGCTATAGGCGAGCCGGGACGCTTCGCCACTGCTTGACTAGTAGGGAAACTCTCCTGCAATCCTCGATCCCTCCCACGGTTCAACTGCCGCCGCCGGTGCCGCCCGCCCGAGCCTCCAGCTCGGCCACGAGCTCGACGTCCTCCCCGCGGGGCGGCGGGGCGACGTGCTGCTCCGCGGCGGCCCGCTCTCTCGCCTCTGCGGGGGGGCGGCAAGCGGGGGCCAGCTCTCTGGACGCCTGCAGCGGGTACGGGAAACATGGGCGCAACGCCCAAAAACGGGTGTTGTCCAAAAGCGGCAGCGGCCGCTGTTGGGCAGGCGGCCTTCTGTCTCAAGCGGACACCGACTGCGGCGGCACCGACGGGCGAGTCCTGTTCAAAACGACGCGGAACTGCTGTCGGTCCTTCTCCTCATTCTTGCCGTACCCATTTCGATCGACCCGAGCCTCACGGGGTGGGTTGCATGGATCTGGAATCGGCGATGCACCGCCAAGAGATGAGCGATAGTCGAGGCCGAAAAAGAGATCCGTCTTGGGCGTGGCTTAATGGGGGGGTCATAAACGGGGGGGTCAGAAAAGGTCCCCTTTCGTGCCCCTTTCGGGCCCCTCCAGAGCCCCAGGGGGCTCGTTTAGGTACCGTTTGGGTACCTTTTCGAACCACCCTCGCCACCCCCCCATTTATGACCCCCCCCATTACGCGGCGCCCAACCGTCTCCGCCGCCTCACGGGCCGGGCCCCTGGGCCACGAACCTGCAGGTATGGGGCGTTGTTTCTCGGGTGCCCGGCGCGGAACGGGGTGGGCCCCCCAGGACTCTGTCGGCGAGCAGTGGGCGACTGGGGCCCGACTCCTTATGCTGCATGCTCGGGGGACCATGTCTGTCCCGTCGCGGCCCTATCCGCGTCGAATCCGTGTCGAATCCGTGTCGGCCTCGTCGGACCAACGTCGAATCCGTGCCGAATCCACACCAAACCCACGCCGAGTCCGGATCGAGCCCGCGTCGGGCGCAGGAGAAGACCCCCAGTTCTGGGGCAGGCGAGGCCCCCCGACGATGAGGCATAAGAACTCGGAAGTCCGCGTGGATTTCTCGAAGCGGCGCTTGACCCCCCTCCCTGGCGCGCGCCAGGAGCGGCGCCGGAGGCGCCGCCAGGGGCCTCCAACGCCGATCCGACAAATCCGCGCGGACCTCTGAGTTTATATATATATATATATATATATATATATATATATAAGTAAATATATGTTTTGTTACTGTCCGTCCCCTAATGAAATGCCTTCGCCCTGAGCCCATCCGCCCCCCCGGGAGCAGGAGGACCTCAATCTTCAGGGGCGCGTCCTGACCAGGACTTCGGGGCGAATCCAGCCATGGCCACGAGGGGAGGGCAGCGGTGCCGGCATAGTTACCCAGACCCCTGGCGGCGCCATGCTCATGTCGTGGAGCCCCCAGAGGTCGAGCAAGGGATCGTCCATAGGATTGATTTACCGTCGGAGCGTTGACCTAAGGAACCCAGAAAAAGGAACGGAGCCCCTTCTTCCCAGAAGTTCAACTTAGATTTCCCATGGGAAACCTCAGGAACACGTAAGGCAAACTGCAAACAAACATCAAGGAACACCGAGCCCCTTCCCCAACGACAGGGTTCCTTCTTTCAGCGCCCCGACTGTACCCCAAAGTGGGTTTGCTCGTCGAATCCACGAACAAAAGCTTATACTGGTCGTCGATCTACGGTCGCCGTACGTTTTTGTTGTTCAAGCGACGAGAAAATCAATTTTGGGTACATCAATTCTGCAGTCCATCCCCTACTCGAAAAAATCTGGACCCCGTTCCGAGGACCAGCTTTTCAATCCGACTCGTTTCGAGGATGGACCGACATCCCTTTAGCAAAACGTGGTTTAGTGAAAACGACCTCAAAGAAAACGACCTCGGGCCCAAAACTGGTAAGCACAAGCCTGGAAAATGACGGCCTCGGCGCCCTCTCGAGAACCGCAAACGGACGATTCACTAATCGACGTGTCAGGGTGGGGGTTCTGTCCGCCCCCAATCGTTCTTGGCTGTCCCAAGGCCTGGTGAGGACCAACGAAGGCCGCAAACGGCTACAAACCTCCCGCCGTGATTTTCGCTCACGACGCGAGGGGGTCTGGGCATCTCCTCTGATCGCCCTCGCTGCAAACAGGACTGCGTAACCATAAACTATCGGCGGTCCGCGCGGAGTTCTTGGATCTGCGCTGGACCACCCCTCCCCTGGCGCGCGGAGCGCGCCAGGGGCGGCGCCGGAGGCGTCGCCATGAGCGGAGCCCAGCGCCGATCCAAGATCTCCGCGCTGGACCTCTGAAAAACTCCGTGTTTCTTGGAGCTCCGCGGCGGCCCTTTCCCTCGGTTGGCCTCCAATTGAGCAGCCCAAGGCTGGAACACCGCCGAGATCCGATGAGAGCCCCCAAAAACATCGAACCTCGAACCCATGAAACTCGAGCCTGACCGTGTCCCACCTCAACATTCCGGGATCGTCGCGGCGGTTGCACAGGGGATGGGGGTCTGATCAGTGAGTGCCACGGCGGGCTACATGTGGCCGAACCCAGCGTCTAAATGGGATACAGATGCCCCAGACTGCTTAATCACTCCGCTAGGTGGGCGGGGCCCACTGTAGCCCAGATCGCGACACCCCCTAAACCACTTGGGCGATTTGTGGCCCGCTGCTCCACAACTGACCCCCCGCGACGATCCCGGGTCTCCGGCGGACGTCCGGGACGATCTGGGCACTCCGGGAACGCCCTCGGCGAGGGGAGGCTGGAGACCTGCCACGATCCAGCCACCACCCCCGAACACCTCGCACCTCGAACGCTCGGCACCCCCCGCGGCCCACCTGACGCTGCCCCTCGCCATCTCTTGGGCTGACCCAAGAGGGGGTCCAGCTAGAAGGGGGTGGTTTCATAGATTTGGGGCAACTGTATTGCAAACGTTTTGCGCTGGATAATCGTATCGCACTGTGTTGCAACGAACGTGATGCACGCGAGATTCCAGCAATACATTTGCGCCCCGGAATGTATTGCACGCCGCAAATCTATTGCACCAGCATGCTGCACCAGATCTACCATAATGGTCCCCGATGGAACAATGCACACGCCCGAGCGATGCCAAGATGTATACCCCGCCTCGGCGTCCACTCTGTCGTCTTAGCTGCGGGCCCCAAGGCTATACACCACAACCACGTCGATCCCCCCTTCCTCCCTTCTTTCCTGGGAGACGGAGGGGATGAGGGAGGTGGTGGTGTATACGTTTCGTTGTTTCTTTCGCGCGGGCATATACCATGGCGCGCCCAGAATGATACTGCATCGAAGCAGAGGGAAAGGAGCACAAGAGAGCAAAAAGGGGACGACCACAGGACATCCCGACAGGCCACTCACAGGTCCCAGATTAGATAAGCATGCAGAACATTCGACAACAGGGCGAGACCATATTCAACGAACGCTTACACGCATCAATGAACTCACGCCCCAAAGACTGAATTGTGCTGGTACCTGTTTCCAGTACCCGTCGGCCTCGAGGGAAATACTCGTCCAGAAAATCACCCACCTGTATGTCAACGAGCGCCGTGTCGAAATGAACTGTGGCACGCACAATTGACAACATGTGTGGTTTCATAACAGACACGTCTACCCACCTTTCAAAATTGAGTCACGTGTGACAAACAACATCTGCCCCGAATAAGCCGTGATCGCCAGCTTCGTACATGCAGGTCCCATGATGTAGATCAACTTCGCCAAACCCGTCGGCAATGCAACCACACCTGTCATCACAGATGATGGAATCGTGGTCGTCAGTGCGCCAGCACGTGCCGCAGAAACGGATGCCCCGAAAAACATGCAACTCCTGCCTTTCATACATACGTATCAACATGCCTGAAGGTAGGGTCAACACATTCGCACTTTGACGCATTCCGGTGACAACCAAGACAGTGCACGTCCCAGCACTGACACTCCACATCCTGGCATACCAAACAGTGGTCCACAATGCGAAACTTCGAATGCAAGTTCGCCCAAAACGTCTCTAGTACCGATTTGAAATGAGTCGCGAATCCTGAGTCGCGCCCGCCAGATGTCAGCGCGGGTACAACTCAATCCACGCGAGCACCCTCTCCACCGCCACAGCTTGTGCAATCGTCCGTGGCCCTGCGCTCGGAGGAAACAAAGGTTGCGGCATTGGAATGGAACTCGAATGTTGAAGGGTCCGCTTCGACAGTTTCATACTGGGATCAAGTCCACAATGGCCGGCAACGTTAAGCCCAAAGGAACCGAAGCCGCCGCACCGAGCCACTGAGTTACCGAGCCTCGCGAGGATGTCATCTAACGAGGCAAGCATCCGCTGCTGGAAGCGACAATCGTTGTCGGGAGCGTCTCCTTGTAAGTACTCGCCCGCGCCTGCCGTGGCTGAGAAACCTGCCCTGCTGGCTGCCAACAACTGCATTCTTCGACGCCGCATCTGTGAACGGCTCAACTGGGTGGGAGAGTTTAATTTCGCTGAATATTTCTCACGTTCGCCAACCGTACGCTCGCGAGGCCGCGCAATCGCAGGAGAAGCAGTGGCGGCAACATCGGGCGGGACACGTGGTCAGGACATGGCTTGAGCCTCTGTGCTCTCGAGCCTCTCTCCAGCCTTGAGCCGACATGGCTACGTATTAGCCGCCCGTAGGAGCCGCCCCCGCGACGACCCCGCCCCGTCGTTGCCCCTCGCCTTCGCGCGCCGCAGGCGCTGCCGCCGCAGGAAGGCCGTGCGTCCCCCGCGGCTGTGCTCGGGCGCGGCCTGCGGCCCGTGCTCGGGCGCCCGGGCGCCCGCCGCCGCGTGGCGCTCGTCGAGGTCCTCGACGCTGCCGCAGGTCGTCGGCGTCGCGCAGCCTGGCCACGGCTCGGCGGCGTCCTCCGGAGCCCGCTGCGCGCAGGAGCGGCCCCACGGGTATCGGCGCTGTGTGCGTCGACCCCCAAGCAGTGCTTGCACCGAAGGGGCCCTAGCGGATATTGAAGATTCGGCTTTTAAGCGCCGGGCCGATTTCGGTGGGCGGCCGGGTTCCCGGGGTTCCCGGTTCCGAATTCTGGGCCGATTTCTGTGGGCGGCGGGGCACCCGGCTTCCCGGCTCGGCGGCGTCCGCCGGAGCCCCACTGGTATCGGCGCTGCGAGCGCTGTGTTTTGTTCCTCCCCAGGGTAACGCTCAGCTCCTGGTTCCGAGCTGAGTCAGATCCTACGTATGGCAGTTATGTTGAGTAAACTTACGGAGCTGCAGTTAAACTTACGCAACTTCATGGTTGGACCACATCTAGCCGATCTTCACCACTTAAGAAATGGAAGTTAGTGAAGTTAGCGCGAGGGTTTTTTGATTATAAAAAACGATGGAAGTTGTAGAGGTTAAGTTTTGGAGTGGTTGACGTTAGGTTTTAGAGTGTTTGACGTTGTAAAAAATAAGTTGTTGTTGTTTTCCCCAATGAAAAATTACACACATGTATACATACATACATCTATGGATATGCGCTTCCTGCCAAACTCCAATATTTTTCACGGGCGCAGCCCGTAATTTGACTCTCGCGAGGTAGACAGACAGACTGAACTAAACTACCATACCGCTAGATGGCAATTGTATGTCCGCGGGTGAGGATATTTCGGTGGCAGTTTTAAGCCAGCGGGTGAGGATATGCCGGTGGCAGTTTTTCGCCAGCGGGTGAGGATAGTTCGGTGGCAGTGTTAAGCCAGCGGGTGAGGATATTTCGGTTGCAGCTTCAAGCCAGCAGGTGGGGATATCTCGGTGGCAGTTTTAAACCAGCGGGTGAGGATATTTCGGTGGCAGTTTGAAGACAGAGGGTGATATTTCGGTGGCAGTTTCAAGCCAGCGGGTGAGGATATTTCGATGGCAATTTTCAGCCAGCGCGTGAGGATATTTCGGTGGCAGTTGTAAACCAACAGGTGAGGATAGTCGGTGGCAGTTTTTCCCAACCAACCTGTGTTGTTGGGTCCTCGTTTTGAAGAGACGGTCCCCGCGTTCCTCCTTCCTCCTTCCTCCTTCCTCCTCCTCCCCTTCCTCCCACCTCCTCCCCCTCCCACACCCATTCTGGCACACCCCTCACACGTTTCGTGGCCCCATAGGGAGACCCCTCACACGTTTCGTGGCCCCATAGGGAGCTCCACCGAAGGCCCCAGTGGCTGCGCCCGCATGCGGTTCCACCCCCCAAGCTGGCACACCCCTCACACGCTTCGTGGCTCCATAGGGAGCTCCACCGAAGGCCCCAGTGGCTGCGCCCGCATGCGGTTCCACCCCCCATTCTGGCACACCGCTCACACGCTTCGTGGCCTCATAGGGAGCTCCACCGAAGGCCCCAGTGGCTGCGCCCGCATGCGGTTCCACCCCCCATTCTGGCACACCCCTCACACGCTTTCGTGGCCCCATAGGGAGCTCCACCGAAGGCCCCAGTGGCTGCGCCCGCATGCGGTTCCACCCCCCATTCTGGCACACCCCTCACACGTTTCGTGGCCCCATAGGGAGCTCCACCGAAGGCCCCAGTGGCTGCGCCCGCATGCGGTTCCACCCCCCATTCTGGCACACCCCTCACACGTTTCGTGGCCCCATAGGGAGCTCCACCGAAGGCCCCAGTGGCTGCGCCCGCATGCGGTTCCACCCCCATTCTGGCACACCCCTCACACGTTTCGTGGCCCCATAGGGAGCTCCACCGAAGGCCCCAGTGGCTGCGCCCGCATGCGGTTCCACCCCCCATTCTGGCACACCCCTCACACGTTTCGTGGCCCCATAGGGAGCTCCACCGAAGGCCCCAGTGGCTGCGCCCGCATGCGGTTCCACCCCCCATTCTGGCACACCCCTCACACGTTTCGTGGCCCCATAGGGAGCTCCACCGAAGGCCCCAGTGGCTGCGCCCGCATGCGGTTCCACCCCCCATTCTGGCACACCCCTCACACGTTTCGTGGCCCCATAGGGAGCTCCACCGAAGGCCCCAGTGGCTGCGCCCGCATGCGGTTCCACCCCCCATTCTGGCACACCCCTCACACGTTTCGTGGCCCCATAGGGAGCTCCACCGAAGGCCCCAGTGGCTGCGCCCGCATGCGGTTCCACCCCCCATTCTGGCACACCCCTCACACGTTTCGTGGCCCCATAGGGAGCTCCACCGAAGGCCCCAGTGGCTGCGCCCGCATGCGGTTCCACCCCCCATTCTGGCACACCCCTCACACGTTTCGTGGCCCCATAGGGAGCTCCACCGAAGGCCCCAGTGGCTGCGCCCGCATGCGGTTCCACCCCCCATTTTGGCACACCCCTCACACGTTTCGTGGCCCCATAGGGAGCTCCACCGAAGGCCCCAGTGGCTGCGCCCGCATGCGGTTCCACCCCCCATTTTGGCACACCCCTCACACGTTTCGTGGCCCCATAGGGAGCTCCACCGAGCGCCCCAGTGGCTGCGCTCGCATGCGGTTCCACCCCCCCATTTCGGTACACCCCTCACTCGTTTCGTGGCCCGGGGGCGCCACCGAAGAATATATCCACAATTGCGGTATTCACAACTACGTATGGTTGGGTCTTTCGTCAGGCTAATTTTTAGCCACCGGGTGATAGAATTTCGAAGGCAGTTTGAAACCAGCCGTAGAGGATGTTTCGGTGGCGGTTTTAAGCCAGCGGTAGAGGATATTTCGGCGGCAGTTTCAAGCCAGCGGGTGAGGATATGACAGTGGCAATTTTAACCCAGCGGGTGCAGAAATATGGGTGGCAGTGTTTAGTCAGCGGGTGAGGATATGTCTGTTGCAGTTTTGAGGCAGCGGGTGAGAATTTGTTGGTGACACTTGGAAGCCAGCGGGCGAGGACATTTCGAAGGTAGTTTTTAGCCAGCAGGTGAGCATATTTCGGTGGTAGTTTAAAACCAGCAGGTGAGTAGTGTCGGTGGCAGCTTTAAGCCAGCGGGTGAGGATATCTCGGTGGCAGTTTGAAGCCAGCGGGTGGGGATATTTCGGTGGCAGTTTTAAGCCAGCGGGTGAGGATATTTAGGTGGTAGTTTTAAGCCAGCGGGTGAGGATATTTCGGTGGCGGTTTTAAGCCAGCGGGTGATCATATTTCGGTGGTTGTTCTAAGCCAGCGGGTGGGGATATTTCGATGGCAGTTTTAAGCCAGCGGGAGAGGATATGTCAGTGGCAGGTTTACCTCCGCGGGTGAGGATATGTCGAAGACAGTTTTAAGCCAGCGGGTGAGGATATTTCGGTGGCAGTTCTAAGCCAGCGGGTGGGGATATTTCGGTTGTAGTTTTAAGCCAGCGGTGAGGGTATGTCGGTGGCAGTTGTATCTCCGCGGGTGAGGGTATTTCGAAAACAATTTTAAGCCAGCGGGTGAAGATACTTCGGTGGCAGTTGTAAGCCCGCGGGGGAGGAGCCGAGAAGAGCTGTGCTCGGCGCGGGCATCCAGCCGCCACGCGATGCATCATTCGCTTGGTTATCCCAGCCGACGGCTACGCATCCAGCGTGGTGCTGCGCCCGTATATATATATGTATATATATATATATATATCTATATATATATATATAAATATATATATATATATATATATATATGCTCGCCCCTTGGCGTGGGGCTGGCGGGGGGCCGAGGGGCTAGCTGCCCCCCCTTCGAGCGCTTTGCGCTGCTCCTCACCCAGGCGCGTTGCGCTGCACATGCCTTTACCTACATTTACGTCGCGCGTTGCAAGATGGATGACGAGGGGAGGATGTAGGAAAACAGCGGCAGGAATACTGTGACCTGCGCCCGCTCGACAACACCTCGGTAACACCTCGATGGCACCACGATAACATGGTATCGAGAAATCATCGAGGTGCGATCGGATCTTACCGAGGTGTTATCGAGTGTTATCGAGCGGTCGCGCTTTCGCTCGGCTCGCGGCCAACTATTGCTGCGCTGCCGCGGCAGCGCATGAGCGCTCAGATGCCCTCAGACGCCGCGAATGGTTGGAAGGGGCGCGAAGCGCATGATTGAATGCAAACTGGAGCGCAACGCGCTTGTGTTCCGAGCGCTGCCCGTAATTCGATTCTCGCGAAGAAGACAGAAAGACTGAACTGAACCACCAGGCCTGACAATTTTACTTCCGCGGGTGAGGATATGTCGGTGGTCATTTCAAGCCGGCGAGTGAATATATGTCGGTGGCAGTTTTAAGCCAGCGGGTGAGGATATTTCGGTGGCAGATTTAAGCCAGCGGGTGAGGCTACTTCGAAGGCAGTTTTAAACCAACGGGTGAGGATATTCCGGTGGCAGTTATATTTCCGCGTGTGAGGATACTTCGGTGGCAGTTTTAAGCCAGCGGGTGAAGCTATTTCGGTGGCAGTCTTAAGCCAGCTGGTGAGGATATTTCGGTGGTTTAAGCCAGCAGGTGAGGATGTTTCAGCGGCAATGTAAGCCAGCGGGTGAGGATACTCCGGTGGCAGTTTTGTTTCCGTGGGTGAGGATATTTCGGTGGCAGTTTTAAGCCAGCGGGTGAGGATATTTCGGTGGCGGTTTTAAGCCAGCGTGTGTGGATGTTTCGGTGGCCGTTTTAAGCCAGCGGGTGAGGATATTTCGAAGACGGTTTCAAGCCAGCAGGTCATGTCTTGGTGGCAGTTCTAAGCCAGCGGGTGAGGATAGTTCGGTGGTAGTGTTTAGTCATGGGGATATTTCGGTGGCGGTTTGAAGCCCGCGGGGGAGGAGGAGCAGGAGGAGGAGGAGGATGAGGAGGAAGGAACCGAGAACAGCTGCGCTCGGCGCGGGCATCCAGCTGCCTCGCGATGCGTCTTTCGCTTGGTTTGCCCAGCCGACGGCTACGCATCAAGCGGGGTGCTGCGCCCGTGTATGTGCTCGCCCCTTGGCGTGGGTCTGGCGGGGGGGCAAAGGGCGAGCTGTCCGGTGATTTGAAATGAGCCAAAAAGAGAGAGAGCGAAACGCATACATAAACTCAATCTGGAGCGCAACGCGCTTTTTTTGAAGCGAGAAAATTGCGCGGTTGAAGTTAGCGAAATTAGGTTCTAGATTAGCTGAAGTTAGTTTTTAGATTGGTTGAAGATAGTTTGTTACAAACCATAATACAACAACTGGAAAACGAACTTCCACAATTTGACCTTAAGTACCGCAGTAGCAACATAAATGCCATAAGTAAGATCCGACGATATCAGAATTCTGGGCCGATTTCGGTCGGCGGCGGGGTTCCCGGGTTCCCGGCTCGGCGGCGTCCGCCGGAGCCCCACAGGTATCGGCGCTGTGAGCGTTGTGTTTTGTTCCTCCCCAGGGTAATTAACGCTCACTACCCGGCCCGAACTGGGCGCGAAGTACTGGGGAGCCGATGATCAGTGGGGGGGGGAAGGGTGTCCTTTCCAGGCCCTCGAAGCCTCCTGGGGGGTGGCCTGGACACCCCCCCTACATGCTGGGGGGCACTGTGCCGGTGGCGCGGACGCAGCCTGGCGGGTGCACGCCGCAGCGGCGCGGGCAATCTCGGGCGTGTTCGCGGGTTCCCAGTGGCTCTCAAGCCTCGTGGTGCTCTCCAGCAGCTGCGCCTCGCCGAGAACGGTCCAGGAGCGCCTGGATCGCCCCGAAGAGCCGCTAGAGGGCCCAGTTGTGATCCCAAAAGACCACCACCTCCAGTCGGCTGCACGCAGGAGCGACCCCACAGGCATCGGCGCGGGTAATGTGAGGGGATCGAGGATCAAGGATCGATGATCGAGGTTTTTCGGCAGTTATCGCCCCTCTCGTGGCCACAGCTGGACCCCCCTCGAGAAAGTCTGGTCAGAACGCGCATCTGGAGAAGTCCAGCGGTAGAGTTTTGATCTCAGCCCAAAACCCCCTCGCGTCGTGACAAGAAACGACAGAAGGTTTTTCGCGATGTTCGGCCTCTGGGGGCTCACAGGGCCTCTGGACTGTCACAAAAAGGGTCACGATGAAAAACTAGTCCCTGGCCTTGCGGAATTCGTGCCCTACCCTAAACGAGGTTTGGCCAGGTATACACGGTCTTCGCATCCACTGATGGCCCCCATGTTCCCTGAGCGACCCCGCGCCGATCCCAGCAGGCGAGCAAGCCGATATGGTCGCACCGCGTCTGCAATCGGCGGGACGCACCTCGAAACATCCTTAGGCGCCAGCGAGAAACTGCGGAATTCCGCCAAAGCGACCCTGCCTCGCATGTAGGGAGACTCGTCATGGGGGGGGATCCCATGGGGGGATAGGATCCCAGGGGGGGGATAGGATCCCAGGGGGGGGATCCCAGGATAGGATCCCAGGGGGCAGGAGGGGATCCCATGGGGGGGATACCCTCCTGCCCCCCCATGGGATCCCCCCCCCATGGGGAGTCTCCCGAGCATGGCGTCCCGAAAGCGCTGTGAAAGCAGACGCTGCCGGACGCTGCTGGAGGAGGGCCAACTGCGACAACGGTGGCTCGCCAGATCTCCGACGATGTGTTTTGTTCGATCCGAACGTTTGTCCTCAACGCCGACCGCCGCCCGGGTCCGTTAGTGGCCACAGGCATACAGGCTATCATCAAAGGGCCCTGGGACACACAAGTAAATAGACACAAATCCCAATGCTCCCAAGATCACATCCTTTCTGGGTGTCCGTCTTCCCCCCCCCACACTTCCAATATTTTCCCATATTAGCCGGGGGATTGTCGATTCATTGTGTCTGTGTGTTTGTTTCCCTCCTGAGATCAAAATGGATCCGTGAGCGGCAACGTCGCGGCGTATAGTCGCAATGGGCCAGAGGCAGCGCCTTGCGCGAGCCGCTGCAACGAGGGACATACATTGTAAGAAAAGTGTTTTGTTGAAGGCAGATCTGCCTTCAAAACATTGTGTTTCGAAGGCAGATCTGCCTTAAAAAACGCTCTTACAGAGTAGGCCTTGTTTGTTGGAGGTAGATCTGCCTTCAAACAACTTTTCCTGTAAGACTCTTCAAGGCGAGAGGCCGTGCAGCTGGGGACTTTCTGGCGTCGCGCGGGGTGGCCCATCGCTGCGAGGGGGGCAAACGTAGCAGCGAAATTCAGACGTTCGGTCATACAGCTTTCTCGGCGACGAGGGAGCCATGAGTATGACTCATACTCATGGCTCCTCCGTCGTCGGAAAAGCTTCCCCCCGGGAAGGGCGCGGCACCTCGGGGGCCGCGCGCTGGGGGGGGGGGGGAAAGAAGACATCGCCGGATGGCTGGGCGCTTCCCGCCTCGGGGCTCAGGGGCTCCACCTGGCGCGCCTGCGACTGGACTCGAAGCCAGTCTTGCTTAGCAGTGTGAGGACCCCTGACCCCTTGGGAGCGGATCTCAGATTGGTACAGAACTTCAGGAACATATTGGAAGGCAACTACTGGGAGGCCTTCGTCGGAAGGAGGAAGGAGGATGAAGCCCCGTCGGGGGGGGGCTGTTGAGCCAGATGAGGCAGCGGATTTCGGATTTAGCGGGGTTGCACCGGATTAAACTGGATTAGCAGGGATTCAGCGGGATTGGGCAGATTCAAACAGGACTTCGGACCATGGCAGAGTCAGAACTTGGCCTCCCAGGAGTTCTATCCGGAGATCAGGGGGTCTGTTCCGCGCAGATGTATCAGACACAAACGCCGATGCCCCTTATCCAGAATGCAAAGAGGGCAATCAGAAATTTTCGGGCGACTCGCAAATGCAGCTGGAGACAGTTCAGTCGGAGCCTAACTTGGCCCCATGTCGTGGCCCTTCCACTAGACTTGGCCTCTCCCGGCTCGCCCGCCCAGCCCACACCTGCGCACAGGCGGTCCCCGGGCCCCCCTTTCCCGCGGCCCAGTCTGACCCACTTTGCGAGGCGAGCCCGGCCGTGGCGACGAGAAGCCTCCAGGAGGCGCTACAATCGAGCTCGACTGGAGAGGACACGCGAGAGGACACAGGACCCTTCCGAGGGCCCCATTGCCATAGGAATGTAGAGGGCACGGGCCGCGAAACACAGGACACAAGGGTAACTACCCTTGACTGGGCAGGGTCGACCTACGAATCAAACTCGACTGTAAGATTAGGTCGGGCATGTCCTCCTACAGGCGGATTTTGGACGACATATAGTTCGGCATGCTTGAAAAATCAAAGATAACAGAACAATCATCCCCATACTATTTTTCTGCACCACTTTTGGATATTGCCTCTGTAGAAGGGCATGCCCGACTCGACTGCAAGAGGACGAACCAACGCCAGGGAGGGCCGCCGCTCTCCAGCGGCAGTGGCCCTCCTCCGCACCGAGGCCGTCCACGGCGACAGCACCGCCAAACATCGGCCGAGTCGGAAGCGAGCCCGAACCGGCCGACACCGACAGGGCCGCCGGCCCAGAAGGCCAGCAACAGCCGGCAGAACTACCCTCGACCTCCACCTTCCGCACCTTATGGACAGCAAGTGCCGCGCAGCGACAGCCGCCAGCACGGCCGCAGAGTCGGCACCCGTCGAGGCCGCAGCGGCGGCCTCGGCGGTCGCCGCGGCCGCGCCGCGGCGGCACCTGCTGCGCGGAAGGTTCGGAAGGTGGAGGTCGAGGGGACCTGGGCCGACCGAACACAGCCGACTGCGACGCGGCCGAACCGGCCAGACTGTTGACGCGCTTGCGAACGCCTGGTCCCAGAGATCCGACGCGGCGAACAATAATCATCTTGAATTATCACGACCGCAGCCCTGGACCCCCCCTCTCTGCGCCATCTCTCGCGCCAGATAGATCTGTGAGTGTCGCGGGGCTCAAGGCTGGGCGAAAGCGCCTGGCTCGAAACAAAATTAGGCGCCAGAGCCCCAGACATCTGGCCGATTCCTCCTTCTTCGAGGAGTGGGCCCCAGAGGTCTTGACCACTTCTTCGGGGCCAGTCTTTCTTCCTGGGTCGTTCGTAGACGGTCCCGAGGCTCAGCAAGGGGCCCCCGGGGCCGAAAACTGCCCAAAGACCCTCGGCGGAGCGTCGGATCTCTGGGCCCCTGGGGTCCTCGCACTTCTGCCCGGCCGGCGCGTGGGCGCCGCGCTCTGGCCCGGGAGGCGGCGGGCCACTCCTGTGGACGCCCGCAACGGGTACGGAACAGACGGTGCACGATGCCAAGCAGCGAGTGATGCCCGAAACCGACAGCGGCCGCTGTTGGCCAGGAGAGCAGGAAGAGCCACCACCACCAAAACTCCACAGCACTCCGTCGCCCAAGGGCCTCCCCCGAGCTGGTGGCACTCCGCACTGGGCGCTCTGTGGCGGCGCGCCCAGAACGGGGTACCACCAGCTCGTGGGGGATAGAAGGATCAGCCTCACTAATCAGGTGGTGCTGGTGCTTTCTCCTCCAGTGAGCTGGGCAGGCTGCAGGCTGCCCTGCGTCTGAAGTTGGCAGTGTCCGCGGCGGCAACACCGACAGCGAATCCTGCTCGACATGAGTGGAAACTGATCTGGACGCCCGAATTGCCTGGGAGAAGTGCTGTGTTGGGGCATCTCCGGGTCGGGACCCCGAGGCGCGACTCAGTAGTTACACCCGACTGCCCCCAGCCCTGCTGACTTGGGAGGGCCTGACGCCAGAGTTCTTCGGGATGGCTGCGGCCCTGGGCAGACCCAGATCCGGGCCCCCGAGGCGCGAATCTGTAGCCATCCCTGACCGCCCCCAACCCTGATGGCTCGTGGCCCCAATGGGGCTGAATCCTCTAGACTCTAGAGGATTCAGCCCCATGCCAGCGTGGGCCTCGGTTCAAGCGGGATGAAGCGGGATTCAGCCGGATCAAGCGGGATTCACCCCGATTTCGGACCAGGGCAAACTTAGAGTTTGACCTCCCAAGGATTGCATCCGAATCTGCGTGCCCATTCTTTCCGTGCTCGCTTCGGTCGCACCGAGCTCCAGCCCCAGGGCCCTTCGTGCGGTGGCACGCCGACCACCGGCACCAGGCAGGCGCCGCACTGGGGCAGCCAGGCCGCCCCGCCCTGCGCGAGAGGAGCACAGGCCAGAACGCAGCACGGGCACCAACAGTTTCGGAGAGCCGCGCGGGTACCAGCCAGCCTCGAGCTCATCCCGTTGTTTACGACGTTGTGCCCATCGTACTTGAGTAGAGCTTCCGAACGAAGTGAGCCCCACCCTCCCCCTCAGAAATCGTGGGGGGTAGGGGTAGAGTTCGCATGTGGCCCCCTATTGAGGACCACATCCCAAAAAAAAAGTTCGAGCACCAAGAGAAGTATCGAAACTATGTCGAGCGAGTATCGCGTCCCAGGGCCCGACACAGCTTCCAGTTTCAGTACTCTCTTGGTGCTCGAAAGTCTTTCTGGTGATCAAGGCTCAAGTAGGTTGGAACATCAGAACCCTTCGCCTAAGGTTGACAAACCCAGAGGCGATTGCAATCTCAGGGATGTGCTCCAGAAGAGGAGGGGAGCCTTAGGATGCGATGCAATGCGATGCGACCACCGTTGCGGACAGCGTCCGGGCCTAGAGCAGACCAGGTGGGTGAGGCCATGGCCTCTAGGATCTGAGGTGTCTGGATTCATGCAGTGCGGGACACAGGAAAAGTCAGGAGGAGAGGGGGAGGATCGGGATCAGCATTAGGGGGAGCCTTAGGATCAGCATCGGCATGGGGTGATACCTCAGGGGGGCGTAAGACCTGGGTACAGGGGACTCGGAAATCCCCGACGAGGTCGTCAAACAAATGACGAGGCCGAGCCTGCATTTTGACGAGGCCTCCCGCTGCAGACATCCCACGAAGCTCCTCCCCGTCAGAATCCGAGGCGCGGTCGTCAAAAAACGATGGCAAACCCGAGTCCTGGCAAACCCGGGTCTTACGCTCCCCCGATAAAAAGGGATCGAGAGGAGAGAGGGAGGATCGGGGAGGAGAGAGGGCGAGACATAGAACAATTCAGGAGGAGAGGGGGAGGATCGGGATCAGCATTCGGGGGAGCCTCAGGATCAGCATCGGCATGGGGTGATACACGGGAATCGGAAGTCGCTTCCGGCTGGCGAGCTTCCACGGGTCGGCGCTGGGCCCCCCTTGCGGGCGCGCGCTGCCCGCCAGGGCGGCGCCAAAAGGCGCGGGTGCAGTGCCCAACAACAAACGTGGTCCAAAGGCGACAGCGGCCGCTGTTGCGCAGGCGGCTTCTCGTCTTCAGAGAATTACGTCCGCGGGGACGCGAACAGCGAGCCACGCCCAAAAGGAACGGGAGCTGCTGCTGGGCCCCCCTCGCTGGCGCGCGCTGCCCGCCAGGGGCGGCGCCAAGAGGCGCCGCCAGGGGGGGGGGGGCGCCCGGGCGCCGACGCGGGAAGCCCGCGCGGACCCTCCCAGAGAGCTCTGTGGTGATGCCCTGTCTCGGGGGCCAACTGCGAACCTTACCCCTACCTCCTAAAACGACGCGAAGATCGGGACAAAATCGGATCGGGATAACTCGAAATCTCTTAGGATCGGCGGGTTTGGAGGATGTATTGGGCGCCGCGGCCGCTCCAGAGCGTTCCCGAACGCTCTGAGAGCGCTCCGGAACGCTCTGGAGCGATTTATCACGATCCTAGCCTTGTTTTACCTCGGGCCCCACCCCCCAACGATTTCTGAGGGGGAGGGTCGGGGGCTCACTCCACTCGGGAGCTCTCCCGAAAGAAGCGAGCCGCCGCCACTCCTCGGAGATCGTGGAGGGCGGGGGTAGGGTTCACATGTGGCCACCGGACTTTCTCTTCTCCGACCTGCCCGTCGGGCACGAGGATCCAGACCTGCCCCTGGGCCTCCAGTAGCCAGGCCGCGGTCAGCGGCGCGCCGGCCGGCTGCTGCCAGCAGCCGAGCTCGTGGGGCTGCGAGGACCCAGGCTGCGTGCCTCCGGGGGCAGGCTGCATGGCGGCCCCTGGGGAAATTTCTAGGAGAACAATCAATGACAGAAACATAAAAACTCGGAATCCGCGCGGATTTCTCGGATCCGCGCTGGAACCCCCTGGTGGCGCCTCGGGCGCCGCCCCTGGCGCGCTCCGCGCGCCAGGGAGAGGGGCCCACCGCGGATCCAAGAAATCCGTGCGGACCTCAGAATTTTTATGTTCATGTCACTTTTCGTTCCCCTCATGGCGGCCACTGGGGAAGTTTCGGGTTCGAGGCTCGAAACTATCGCGCGATCTCGCCGGCTCTCAGCAACTTTCCAGCCCTGGGAGGCGCTCCTTCGGCGGCGCGCCCAGGGGGGAAAAGAAAAAGGGCGGGCCTTCTCGGCAGGCTCGGAAGCCCGGCGGTCTTCTGAGAGGTCCACTGCGGTGAAGGCCTACAAAGGTCTATGGGAACGGGAAGGCCTGTGGGCCCTTCCCCGAAGACGCGGGAAAACCTCTCAGAAGGCCGGGGGGCTTCCGAAAAACCCGCGTGCGCGTCCTTCTGAAAAGGCCTTTTCCTTCTCGCTTCCCCCGCGGGAAAGCCTCTCAGAAGGCCGGGGGGCTTCCGACAAGCCCGCGCGTCCTTCCGAGAAGGCCTTCTCCTTTTCGCTTCACCCCCCTTCGGTCGCCGATTCCAGCGGCATGCGCCTCGCCAAGAGGCGTCGGGGGGGCCCGGATCGCCCCGAGCGACCGCCAGAGCCCCGAACCGAGAACCAGAAGCTGATGGGCCTGGTTTCCACGACCACCACCAGAAATTGGAGGGGGGAAGGAGGTCGAGCACGAGAAGGATGAGGACGAAGACGAGGAGGAGGAGGAGGAGGAGGAGGAGGAGGAGGAGGACGAGCACGAGGAAGAGGACGAAGAGGAGGAGGAGGAGGAGGAGGAGGAGGAGGAGGAGGAGGAGGAGGACCCCCTCCCCCTCCAAATTATGGTGGTGGTGGAAAACAGGCTCTTCAGAAGCCCCTCGGCGCGCCGAGGGGGAGAAAGGGAGGCGAGGCAGGCCTGCTCGGAAGGCGGCGGGGCTTCTCGGAAGTCCTCTGGCCTTGCGAAAGGGCCCACCGAGTCGCCCTCGGACGCCCAAGACGGGCTACGGAAGCAACGGGTGCAATGCCCAACAACAAACGTGGTCCAAAGCCGACAGCGGCCGCTGTTGCGCAGGCGGCTTCTCGTCTTCAGAGAAATACGTCCGCGGGGGCGCGAACAGCAAGCCACGCTCAAAAGGAACGGGAGCTGCTGCTGGGCATCGTACCCATTCTTTTCGCGCCCACGTCGATCGTCCCGGATCTTCGGAGAAGACTCGGAGACGAGCCTTCTGAGAAAACCCGCCCTCGCTGCCGCCCCCCCTGGGCGTGCCCCCGACCCTGGGAGGGCTGGCGGACTGTCTGGGCTTGCAGAGCCGAGAAGGTACAGACAGGGCAAACAGGGCAGAGATAGCGAGAGAGAAAGAGAGATAGACAGACAGACATACATACAGCTATATGTATACACGCATATGTATGAATAGAACAGGGAAAGAGAGAGAGAGAGAGAGAGAGAGAGAGAGAGAGAAAACACACTACTCCGACGGTAGGACCCCGCACGAAAACCTGTTTAGCTTACCCTTTGCCCTTTCCTCCTCCCCCTGGCGGACATCCTCTTCTCTCGCCCTCTGCACTGCCTTCTCCTCCTCCTTCTATGTTTCTTCCTCCTTCTCCTCCTCCTCCTCTTCCTCCTCCTCCTCTCGGGCCACCTCCTCCTCGTCGTCGCCCTCCCCCATGCCCTTCCCTCCTCATCCTCCTGCCTCTTCTCCATGTGCACCCCCCGTTCCTCCTGGTCGTGGCAAGCAACTCGATGTTCCTCGGCGCCGTCGCCGCGTCGGCCAGCGCGCGCGCGTTTGCCGACGGCTAGATCGCGAAGCCGTCGGGACAACCCTTCGGGCCAGGCCGTTGGGACAACCTCGCAGGCCGCAGGGGCGCGGGAGCCAGCCGTTGGGACAACCCCTCGGATGACCCGCCTCGGGTTTAAAACATGAGGTGCGGGCCCCATAGGGAGAGGCTTCCCGCATGAGACTTCGTCGCAACTCACTCACAGACGAGGCTCCCGCGTGATACTTCCTCCAGGTTCTCGCCACATGGGCCCAAAAGAGACGACAACTACACGTTTCGAATGACCCGCCTCGGATTAGAAACATGAGGTGCGGGCCCCATAGGGAGGGGCTCCCGCCTGAGACTTCCTCACAATTCACTCACAGACGAGGCTCCCGCCTGATACTACCTCCAGGTTCTCGCCGCAAGGGCCCAAAAGTGACGACAACTATACGTTTCGAATGACACGCCTCGGATTAGAAACATGAGGTGCGGGCCCCATAGGGAGGGGCTCCCGCCTGAGACTTCCTCACAATTCACTCACACACGAGGCTCCCGCCTGATACTACCTCCAATTCAAGCCAGGGAGTGAGTGATGACGAAATGATGAGTGAATGAATGATGATGATGATGAGTGTGTGATGAATGAGTGATGATGATGATGCTGATGATGATCAGGATGGCCACTGAGTGGGTGGACGAGAGATTATGATGGAGATGGTGACGATGATGTTGAGAGTGGCGGCGGTCCTACCGTCGGAGGACCACCGCCTCCGAAGCCTACTGAGGATGAGTGAGTAATTGAGTGAGTGAGTGGGTGATCGAGTGGTGACGATGGTGACGATGATAATGGTGAGGATTATGATGATGAGTAATGATGAAGGATTATGATGATGAGTAGTGAAGACGGTGATGGTGGTTGATGGTGATGATGATGGTAATGATGATGAGCGTGTGCGTGTGATGACGATGATGGTTGTTGATGGTGATGATGATGGTGGTGGTGGTGAGTGTGTGTGAGAGAGAGAGGAAAAGGGGGGGTGAGATCCTGCGCGGCGTGTGCAGAGAAAACAAGAACCCCACTTTGGATGTGGGGAAACAGGAAAAGAGAGATAGAGAGACAGAGAGACAGAGAGAGAGAGATCGAGAGAGGGAGCGAGAGCGAGATCGTCTTTATCAGTCGATGGCGGCACAATGAAGGCCACGTGTTCGACGCATCGCGGGGGCATGTCTCAGTCGACGCCTAAGCGACGGGACGCCGATCGCGAACACTCGAGAGCAGTGGCGAAGCAGAAGAGGAGAGCCCCTACCACAGGTGTGGCCCTCCTTGATCGGGGGAACTCGCGAGGGGGGGCAACGAGCGAGTCGAAGAGAGGCCGAGAGCTCGGAATCCCGCACGCGGTCCAGACTTGAACACCTTCCAAACCATATCGAGACTCTTCCGCAGGGGCCGCCCTTGGCCGCTGGACGCCTCACATCAGCATCGGCCCTAACATGTAACCTTAACTCGAAGTTACATGCTCTGAGCGGACTGTAAGGTAAATAACCGATACTTTCACCGAAGTACAGTTGATAACAGATACAGGTTCGAAGTTCAGAGCGGACTGTGTTGCATCGGCGTTGGATCTCCCTGGCGCGCGGGTCGTGCCAGGGGCAGCGTCGGAGGCGCCACCAGGGGAGAGTGTCCAGCGCAGATCCCCAGAAATGCGCGCGGACCCCAGAAAGCAGATGTCTATGAAATTTGTCATTCGATTCACGCGCATCCAAGACAACGTTAGTCGGTCAAGTCGCAAATCTCGCTGCACACCCACAATGGGTGTACAGTGCATGGGCGACCAATTAACGAATCGTAGCCGCGTCCTCCAAATCAAATCAAGCTGCTCCATCCTTGAGGGCAAAGTAAGCACCCTCATAATCAGCAGCCCTACACATGAGACCCTTACGGACATTCACGTGAAGAAGGAAGCGCACAAGGCAGGTGCATGTCCCCCGCTTGGATGAAGGCCAAGAGCACACAACGAGTACGTTGAGGCAGGCTGAGAGTCATCCTCATGTTCGATGCGCATGGGGATTGTCTCAGGAGACGCAGGCGAGGGGCATCGGCGGCATGCCAGATGCGTGACTGATCTGTCTGATGCTCTGTCTGCTGAGCTTCGGATGGCGCGGAGACGGTAATGATTACAATGATGCGCATGGTTTTATCGAACCAACGGCAGGTTCGCACCTGCACTACTAGGTTCATGACAAGAGCTCCCTCCAGGACATACGCCACTGAATCATGACTGTATGCGTCAGGAGACATTTCCACCTCGCCGATCCCTCAGAACTTGAATTTGGTCTTGTCCTTGCGCTTCTTCTCCTTGGCAGGTCCCTTCCTGGGTTCGACGTCCTTCTGCCCAGCGGCGAGCTTGGCCTTCGCGGCAGCCTCCTCGTGCTGCTTCAGCTGCTGCCGGATGATGTCTGCGGTCAGGATACCCTCCGTCTCGACGTCCCCCGGGTTCAGCGACATCGTGACTGGCCCAGGCGTGTCGGCGCCGCCCACGGGGGTCGGCGCGAGGCCCCCGGGGAGGCCTGTGGGCGTGGCGACCCCACCCACTGGCGTCGCAATGCCGCCCACCGGAGTGGCGATGCCGCCCACGGGCGTCGCGATGCCGCCCACCGGAGTGGCAATGCCTCCGACGGGGGTGGCGATCCCCCCGATGGGCGTGGCGATGCCGCCGACGGGCGTGGCGATGCCGCCCACGGGGGTGGCGATGCCGCCGATCGGGGTGCCGATGCCCCCAATGGGCGTCCCGATGCCCGGCGTGTGGGTGCCGATGCCGTGGGGGGTTCCTGGCGGGGAGGAGGGAAGGCACCTGCGCGCACTCTGTGGTGCGCGGCGGGCACTCCAGAAAAACCGAGGTCCGCTTCCCGGGCCGGCCGTGGGCGTGCAGAACTCCCCGCCTCGGCCCTGGGTCCCCCAGCTCCGCGCGATTGGCGCGGCCACCTCCGCGCCCCCGCAACGCCGCCCCTGGGGGGTGGGCCTGTGGCGTCGCGTCGCGCCGCGGGGGGGGGGGAAGGGGACAGGCTGGGGCTCCATCCACGACGGACGCCCGACGCCCGACGCCCGAGGCCGCCCGGGAGGGAGGTTTGGGGACTCTGTGTGGAGATGGGCCCGAGCCTCCGAAGTCTCGATTTCTTCAGTACTGGATGACCAGAGACCTCTGAAGCCCTTCCCTGGGAACGTGCTTTCGACCCGAATCGTTTTAGGCGGTCCAAAGACCCAGAAACAGATGTTGGAGCCCGACCTTAGTGGGCCCTGGAAACGACAGGGCCGTTTTTTACCGGTTCCGTTTTGCTGTTTGTTTGCCGGTTCCGACGCCGTTTTTTTACCGGTTCCGTCGCCGTTTTTTTACCGGTTCCGGCTCTGGTTCCAATCCTGGAGCCGTTTTTGTTGCCGTTTCCGTCTGCCGTTTTTTGCCGTTTCCATTTTTCAGGGGCACTTTTTTTGAAACGGTGAAAAAACGGCCCTGCTGTTTCCGGGGCCCACAAAGAGCCCGACAATGGCAGAACAACTCCACCTTGTTTCTTGCAGGGCATGCCAAGTATCGAGCCTCATGGGCCTGAAGAGAGCCGAAGCAGGCAACAGACCCCGATCCTCAAGCCTCGATCCTCTGTCTGGGCCTGCTCGCCAAGAGGCAGTCGACAACCTGTCCCCAAGCGGTGGTCAACTTTGCAGCGGCCTGTTGACCACCGCAGGAGCGTTCTCATCGAATTCCAGCGGTGCTGGTGGTCAGCTTGACTCTTGACGAGAAAGGGAACGAATCATGACATAAACATATAAACTCGGAGTTCCGAGCGGATGTCTTGGATCTGCGCCAGACATCCCACCCCTGGCGCGCGGAGCGCGCCAGGGGGAGGCGCCGCCGGGGAGCCCCAGCGCTGATCCGAGGAATCCGCGCGGGCATCCAAGGTCTTCCGTTTATGCCACTGCTTGGCTGTCGAGGTCAGCTTGACTCTTGAGGATCTGTGCAGGTGGATGCGCGTGTCGACCACACGCAAGATCGGGGATGGACAGACCCCCCTTTAGTAAAACGTGGTTTAGTGAAAACGACCTGAGGCCCAAACCTGGCGGGCGCAAGCCTGGAAAATAACGGCCACGGCGCCCTCTCGAGAACCGAAAACGGACAATTCACTAATCGACGTGTCACTGTTGGGGGTTCTGTCCACCCCCGACAAGAGTGACCCCGGGCAGGAGTGGCCTTTGGTGCGCGGCTTTGGGGGGGGGGGGTCGCGGGCAGGCCACATCCGAGCGCGCAGGCCAGTGCTGGGGGGGGGCCCTGCGAGCCCGCACAAAAATGCCACTCCGGCGAAGGGCCACTCCTACTAGGGAGCCCACAAAGGACGTACGCGCCCAGCTATGTACATGAACACGGCCCCTCGATTCGCGAGACCGGCCGCGCTATACGAGCATTTGTGCAATGCGTGCTCTCGAAACCAGCGTGGATTCATGTACATGTACGTCCTTCTTTCGCTCCTGATTCTACGTCCGGTCGAGCTTCTGCCCCCCCCCCCGCCTGTGCCGATGCCGTGGGGAGTGCCCGTCCCGACGCCGTGGGAACCAAAACCTGGGCGGCGCGCACAGGGCGGGGCCCCGGCGCGGGGGGGGGGCGGCCCTCTCGGAAGGCAGGGAGGGCTCCGGGGAGGCGGACGGCCCGCTCAGAGAGGGGCCCAGGCCCAGGGCCCAGGGGCCCAGGACACGAACAGAACAACTCGGAGGATTGCAAAAAAAAACCCGGATTGCAACGAAGGATTGCAAAACAAAACCCAGGACTGCAAAAAAAAAAGCAAAACACAAGTTTTTTTGCAATCAATCCTTCGGCCCAGGGGCCCAGGACACGAACGGAACAACTCGGAGGTCCGCGGGGATTTCTCGGCTCGGCGCGGCGCCGGAGGCGCCGCCAGGGGTCTCCAGCGCCGATCCGAGACATCCGCGCGGACCTCCGAGCTACTTCGTCTATGTCATTGGTTGTTCCCCTGTTCCAGAAAGGCCCCTTGGAAGCCGGGAGGACTTCTGGAGAGCCCCCTGCCTTCTCAAAGCTCCCAGCCCTCCTAAAAAGGCTGCACCCCCCCCCCGCGCCATCCCCAGAGACCTCTGGCGTCGCGAGTTTGCTCACAACGAAGACCCCCCCAACAAAAAATCAGGCCACCTGCCAAGGAGCAGCCCCGGTGGCCGAACCGAGAGGCCTCCCAGATGGGGTCCAGGCAGATGGGGTCCGGGTAGATGGGGTCGGGGGATGCACCGCATCGCCCATGTATCGCCCAGGCATCGGCGGTGCATCGGAGATGCGTCGCCGATGCATCGGCGACGTCGGCGGTGCATGGTGCATCGACGGCGCAAGAGCGGAGAAGATCGGCCTCCATGTCGAGGCGCATCGGCGAGACGAACAGACGCCTCCGACCCCATCCATTCTAGGAACGCGCGTTCCACTACCCGCAAAGTCACTACTCTCAAGTGGCCTGGATCAACCGCAGAGGATTTACGATCCTTGACCTCGAGTCGAACGCGTGACTCTCTGGCGTTGGCGACCAGGCCCTTTTGGCGAGTGGTGGAACGCGCTCGGTGGCACTCGGGCCCCATCTGGGAGGCCTGGCGAAACTGAGCCCAAATCTCCCGTCGTGCTTCTTCCTCACGGCGCGAAGACGTCTCTGGGCCCCCTCGCCGCGCGCCGCCGCGCCACCGACTGGCGTGCCCGTGCCGATGCCGTGCGGCGTCCGCGTCCCCACGCCAGGCGTGCCGGTCCCGACGCCCGGGGTGCCGATGCCGTGCGGGGTGGAGATGCCGTGCGGGGTGCCGATGCCGCCGATGGGGGTGCCTCGAGGAGAGATGGGAGACGGGCGAGGCCCATCAACCTCATCCTCCGTCCCTCGTGGTCGTGCTTCCTCCATCCTCATCCTCCGCCTCCTCCTCCATCCTCTTCCTCCTCCTCCACCCCCCTCCTCCTCCTCTTCCATCCTCCTCCTCCTCCACCCCCTCCTCCTCCTCCTCCTCTTCCTCCTCCTCCTCCTCCTCCTCCTCCTCCTCCTCCTCCTCTCCTCCCTCCTCCTCCTCCTCCTTCTCCTCCTCCTCCTCCTCCTCCTCCTCCTCCTCTCCTCCTCTCCTCCCTCCTCCTCCTCCTCCTCCTCCTCCTCCTCCTCCTCCCCCTCCTCCTCCTCCACACTCCTCCTCCTCCACACTCCTCCGTGCAAACACCTCGAGACAAATGGAGACGGGCGGGCGAGCGGGAAACCGACTTTGGCGAGCTGGCCCGAAGGCGATTCACGGCGCACCCAAAGCTGAGGCCGGAGCCAAAGCTGGCAAAACGAGCAGCGGGAGCGCCGCTCGCAGAATGAACGAATCCCTTGGGGTAGCATCATTGAATCATCTTGAACATGGGTGTCGCCTGCTACTGCCGCGGGCGAACTGGCCGACGCTTGGTCGACGCAGATGACGGACGGATATAGGGACAGCTTCGGGGATCTTCTGACCCGGGTCAATCCAAACCCGGATCAGTCAGGCCTTGCAGAATCCTGCACGATCCTGCAAGATCCTGCACCAAAACCCGGGTCAACGCGAAGGATCCTGCAAGACCCGGCAAGATCATCCAAACCCGGGACAGTGCGACCCTGCCCCTGCAGGATCCTGCAAGATCGGGCGCTCTGGCTGAGCCCCAAGGCTTCCGAGGACTCGGCTGAGGACATCCGTCGAGGGTCTCTGAGGCCCTGCGGGTCTGGAGGAAGTATGGGGAGCCGCGGCTCGTTCCACAGGAATCTTCGACTCGCCTGAAGCGGCGGCGGCGATGACGGCGGCGATGTGACAGGAACGAAAAACAGGGCTGGACCTAAACGTTGCTTTTCGTGTTGTTCTCGTTTTGTGTGTTTCGCGTTGCTCTCCCTGTGTTCCTGTACCTCCCTGCCAGAACGAATAACAAAGCATGGCCGAAATCCAGCCAAACAGCGTTCAGGTCCAGCCCTGGAACGGAACACGACATAAACATAAGCACGACACACGAAGTGCCGCACGGACCTTCGGAAGCCGATCTTGATTCTGGGAAATGCGCGCTTCGACTGGCGGCGGCGGCATCGACGCCGAGGGAGACTCGTGCGGCGCCTCTTGGCGCTCTCAGCATTGAAGGGGCCCAGGGACGCACAAATAAATGTACACAAATCCCAGGGCTCCCCATATTTTCAAATGCTTTTTGAATGTTCGTTTTCCCCCCCACTTCCCATGTTCCCCCATATTTTCCTGGGGAATCGACGATACATTGTGTCTGTGTGTTTGTCCCACTCCCGAAGCATCACGGCTTGGCGCAAACTCGGTCAGGGCCGACCCCGTCGCCACATCTGGCTCCTTGCTGTCCCTCCTCGTCCGCATCCTCCTCGTCCTACTCATCTTCATCCCCATGCTCCTCCTTCTCGTCATCCTCCTTCGGTGGTTCAAATATTGGATTGGGTTTTCAGAGATGGGGTCCTAAGGACGAGGTGCCTCAAACAGCGTAGATCCCTTGGATCCTTTCCTATCCTTGGGGCCCTATCCCTCAGGACCCCATCTTTGAATCACCGACTCCTGCTCCTGTAGAGACCTCCTGGATGGGGTCGGAGTAGATAGGGTCGGAGGATTGCGCCGCATCGCCGATGCATCGACGATGCATCGGCGATGCACCGGCGATGCATCGTCGACGCCGGCGAAGCATCGGCGACGTCGACATGAAGCAAACTGGGCTCCACATCGAGCCGCATCGGCGGTGCATCGGCGCTGCGGCGCGATCATCCGACCCCATCTGGGATGCCTAGCTCCTGGGCGCCCCTCCTCATCATCGTCTTCCCCCCCGGCCTTCTGCCGCTGCACCCGCTCCTGCGCCAATCTCCTCGTCGTCTGCGCTCCTGCCCCTCGATGCTCTGCTCCACCACGCCCTCCTCTTGCTCCTCTGCTCCTCTGCTCCTCCGACGATCGTCTCGCTTCAATTCCTGGTCCTGCACCTCTTCCACCTTCTCCACCGCCTCTTCCTCGATCCTGCTCGTCCGCCTGCTCTTGCTTCTGCTCTTGCCCCGCTGCTCCCCCGCCGTATTCTGGTGCTGCATCTGCTGCTCCAGTCCCCTCCTCCCCCCTCTCCTCCTCAAACTCATGCTGTTTCTAACTCCTCGTCAGCCTCCTCCTCCTCCTCCTCCTCCTCCTGCTCCTCCGCATTCCTTCTCCGCCACTTCCATGGAGGAGGGAGAGGCAGGCGGGAGAAGAGGATGAGGATGAGCAGGTTGGAGATCAGGGGGAGGAAGGATTGGATGGGCCGCAGTCTTGGCAGGTCCTGCTCCAGATCCTTGTCTTGCCCCGAAGGTCTCGAGGTCTCCAGAAGCGTCCGAAAACAGAATCACTTCTTCAAAACATCAGAAAACCTATATTCTTCTTCACCTGCCATCTTTCCTCCCTCTCTCCCGTCCTCCTCCCTCCTTCTCCCGCTAGCCCACCCAGAGGGAACAACCAACACGATTTGCTCGGAGACGACCACACACGACGGTGACGACGGACGACGGACGACCGACCGCCACCGACAGAGAACAACCGACGACAAGAACCTTGGACAACGGACGACCGACCGCCAGAGACCGATGACGGACGACGACCGCAGACGGCAAACGACCCACTGCCAACGACCGCAACGACCGACGACAACGACGACAATGACGGCTAGGACGGGCAACGTCGTCCGACGACGGCGACCGATGATGACAAGCAACGTCGTCGACGCAACGACGACCGATGCCAACCACAACGACGACAATGACGACGACGAGGACGACGACCGCCACGACGACGACGCCCGACGCCGCCGAAGCCGGCGACGCCGACGACGACGCCGACGACGACGACCGACCGGCGGCGACGGCGGCCGCGGCGGCGGACCCCCGAGGGCCTATGCCCGCCAGGGGCGTGCCGGTGCCCGAGCTGCCCACGCCAGCGATGGGGGTGGAGGTGCCTCCGCCCTTCATCTTGTAGGTGTGCGCGGAGGGGTAGACGCCCTCGCGGGCGCGCTCGGCGTCGGCGGCGCTGCGGCGTCGATGGCGGCGACGAGGGGTCCGGGGAGGTCTCTCGGGATCTCGGGGCGCCGGAGGCACACGGCTCCCGGCGGGCTTGGGCGACCCCCGTCCTCAGGGGTAGACGCCCTGGCGGGCGCTCGGCGTCGGCGACGTTTCTGGAAGAAGAAAAGACAGCGTTGCAGCATAAGCATAGAATTCTGGAGGTCCGCGCGTATTTCTCGACGCCAGAGGCGCCGCCAGGGGATATGCGGAGAAAGTAGATTAGCTTCCGCCGGCCCGGGAGGAGGAAGGAAGAGGGAGCACCGTTCAACTCACAACATAGAAAGGCATCTGAAGAAGGTTGGCCTGTGGGAACCCCTGGATACGTGCTTTCACCAACCAATGGGTGTGTTCATGCAGCTTTCTGCTACTCGAGCTTCGGCGTCGACGACGTCGACGGAGAGGTTTATCTTTATTGAAGGGGCCCCAGGACACACAAATTAATGTACACGAATCACAGGATTCCTAATATTTTCAAACATTTTCTGGGTTTTCGTCTTCCCTCACACGTCCCATATTTTACCACATATTTTCCTGGGAATCGACGATTAATTCTGTCAGTGTGTTTTTCCCCCTTCTGATTTATTTCGGCGCAGCTGAAGGCCGTGCGCGGCCAGCCGGATGTGACAATTGAGGGTCAAGAAGCATGCGGTCGGAGGTCTCTCAGGATCTCGAGGCGGTCAGGCCCGCGGCCGCCGTCACCAGGCGGCTTCGAGGGACCCGCATGGGCGTCGGTCGAAAGGGCGGTGCGCGGAAGGTGTGCGCAGTGGGCTTGCTTCTCTGGCCTCGTCGTCCCTTCGGGTCAACTTCTCCCCACCACGCCTCTGTGCTGGCTCCGCCTGGCCTGTGCTCGCTCCTCCGGGTCCCCCCACGCCTCCTCTCCCCCCCCTTCCTACCTCGCCCCTCCTCCACCTCGTCCGCCTTCCCGTCATCGTCCGCGTCCTCCTCCTTCTCCTCCTCCTCCTCCTTCTCCTCCTCTTCCTCCTCAACATCCGTTTCCGACCGTCACCTCCACCCGATCCGCAAAAATCTCTCGCCTATCCTCTATCCTACTCCGCCTCCTCTTTCATCCCTCTCTAATCCCTCCTCCTCCTCCTCCTCCTCCTCCTCTTCCTCCTCCTCTCTGCCAGCTCCCTCCTCCATCTCCTCCGATGCCCTCCTCCACCGTTTCTTCGTGCGCTGCGCCCTTGTCACCCACTGCGATTCGTTCAGCAAACCACACAGCAAAAACACAGGGTCGTTTCCCCCGGCTCTTCTCAAGACGTCCTCTTCCGCACCCCCCTCCTCGACCTTTTTCCTCCTCGTCCTGCTCCACCCTCCCTCTTCATCCTTCAGCTCCCTGCTCCTCCTCCTCCTCCTCCTCCTCCTCCTCCTCGTACTCCTCTTGCATCCCCCCGTCCTCCTGCACCTCCGCTATCCTTCACCTGATCTCCTCTTCGCCTTGTGCCATGCCTCTCCTCGTTGTCCTTTCCCTCACCTATGCCGATCGGTTCTTGGTTTGTTTCTCTCTCTCTCTCTCTCTCTCGATGTCTGTCTCTGTCTCTCCCTCCCTCCCTCCCACGCTCTCTCGATATCTCTATAGTATGTATTTGTGTTTGTTGCGCGCTCTCTCTCTCTCTCTCAATTGGTTGCTTTTCGTATCCCTCTCTCTTGCGCTCTCTTCCTCTCTCTCCCTCTCTCTCTCTCTATTTCCCTGCACTCTCTCTCTCTCTCAATATCTCTCTCTCTCTCTCTTTTCCACTCTCTCTCTCTCTCTCTGTGTTCTCCACGCCAAATTCATCCACCTCGTCATCATCCTCCCTCTCTTACTGGAGGTATCTGGTGGCCTCCAGAAGTACCTGCGAAAGTCCTCAGAGAGACCTCTTGAGACCCACGAATACTCGAATGAAAACATGTTTCACCTCCTTTCGCCATTGCTCGAACGTCAATTCCCCATGCATGTTTCGACTTCGTGCGCTCATGTTCCGGAAAGTGATCAAAGGATGTTAATCGATCGATTTCGCAGAGAAAACGTGCACACGTCCGAACGATGCCAAGTCCTCATCCTTCTCCCTCCCCAGATCTCTTGAAGCACCAGAGGGTTCTGCAGACCCTACCAACTGCCCCCAACTGACAAAAAAACTCAATCTCGGCGGAATCATCGGCCTTTCATCTTCCGTCTCCTCCTCCGCCTCCTCCCCATGCTCCACCTTTTGCTCCTGTTCCTGCTCCTGCCACTGTTCCTGCTCCTCTTCGTCCTCCTCCTCCTCTTCCTCCTCCTCCTCTCCTCCTCCTCCTCCTCCTCCTCCTCCTCCTCCTCCTCCTCCAAACCTCCTCCTCCTCCCACCTCATTTGGCCTTTCCTTTCAACAGTCGACTCCATAACCTCTCTGCATTTGACGAACACGGCCTTGAGATGCCAGATGAACTGCGCCAGAACTGTCCACAGTCTCGATCCTCTCCCTCTCGCAATGGGATGTGGACAGCTTTGGCACAATGGATTGCGGCGGAATTTTGAAAGTTCGAGTCGGGCCTAGGTCGAGGGTCTGCGGTTGATGGGGGTTTGGTGGCCGCACCCCCCATGGGGTTTTCATGGCGCGGAGGGGGCGCGGAACGCGAACTGAAAATAATTGATCGATTGGGTTTTTGCGCTAAGCGATACGGGAAACAAGCCATGGGGGTTCGATGCGGCTACAACTTTGCCGCATCGAAACCCCATGGCTTGTTTCTCGCACCGCTTGGCGCAAACACCAAGTCGATCAATCATTGTCGGTTAGCCTTCCGCGCGCCCTCTGCGCCATGAAAACCCACTGGGGGGCGCGGCCACCAAACCACCATCAACCGCTGCCCCCGCGGGGGGGGGGGGAGGCGGCAGCGGAAATGACTCGAGACCATGGCGGCGCAGAGGATCTCGACGGAGGGGAAGTTGGAGGAGCTGGGACGGCGAGGTCTGGAGAGGAATGGCAAAGAGGGAATGAGGAAACGCGCGACGGGCGAGGAGGGGCAGAGACAAGGAGGAGGAGGGAGTAGGAGGGATAATGCAAGCAAGGGCATGGGGCGAGGAGGGATGGAGGGGAGGGTGGAAGGAGTGAGGGGGGGGGGATGGAAGGGAAGGACAGAGATGGAGAGAGGAGGAGGGAAAGGAAGGAGAGGGGGAGGGAGGGAGGAGGGAGGGGGAAATGATGGAGGATCTCTTGTCGTGGATCAGATCGCTGCTGGCTTAAGTTTAATTTAACACCCGAATGTCATGGCTAGGGGTTGCGGCGGTGAGGCAGCCGACGAGTCTACACAACTACACCAATACAGTACTAAGCACATCGCCCCCAAGATCGCCCAATACGGCCTCAAGACGGCCAACGATGGCCCCAATATGGCTCCAAGGCGGCCCAAGCTGGCCTCACGACGGCCCAAGGTGGCTTCAAGACGGCCTGGAAAGACCCCCGAGACCTCCCGAGATGTCTCCAAGACCTCCAAGACCCACCCCAGGATGGCTCAAGATGGCTTCAAGACGGCCCAAGAAGACCCTCGCGGCAGCCCAAGATGGCTTCAAGGCGGCCCCGGAAGACCTTCGGGACCTGCCGAGATGGCTCCCAGACCTTCAAGACCCACCTCAAGATGGCCCAAGATGGCTTCAAGGCGGCGGAGCAAGGCCGAAAGGCGACAACAACGGATGGAGGTGGGGGGCCGAGGTGGAGGCTGAAGGAGGTCTCTTCCCTCCACCACGCGGGAAAGTCACCGTCGTGGGACGGCTGGTGCTGGTGGCGCTGGTGCTGCTGGTGGCGCAGCTGGGTGCGCGACTGATGCTGCTGCTGCTGGCCGCAGCAGCACTCACTGCACTACTTGTTCAGCACCTGCGCCAAGCGGTCCGACACCGCCTTCAGGATGACCTCACTCACGTCGGTCTCGCCGAACTCCTCGGCGTCGCGCACTGCGTCGCGCACGGCGCTCAGCTTGTCGGCGAGGCCCTCGTCCGTCACATCCATCTTCAGAATCTGCAGGGCCTTCGCCTCCCACAGCATTGATGACGAGCGGCGCTGCTCACAAGCGAGCGCCTTCTGCATGGCCTCGCGCGCCTCCGTTGCCCCGTGCAGCTCGGCGGTCCCCTTGGAGTCGTGCAGTGCCGCCTTGATGCTGGTCACGACCTTGCTGATCTTCGCCGACATGCCCTTCTGCCTGAACAACGTCTTCGAGGCGTGGGCCAGCGTGGAGTCCAGCGTCTGCTTCTCGTGCATGTCCCCGGCCCAGTGCTTCGTATTGCCCTGGAGGTCGCCGCCAGCGATCGAGCCGAGCTCCGCGAGCTTCTCGTTGGCGGGCTTCATCAATGAGGCCCAGAAGGCATCCGAGAAAGCAGCCAACTTCTCAAAGCAAATGTTCAGCATGGCGTCGACATGGCTGCTCAAGAGCGCGAAGAGCCCAACGCGGGGGCCGACGTGAATGCACTCGCCGCCCTGATCCACGTTGTCTGCCTTGGCCTCGTCGTCGTCGGCCTTCTCCGTCGGCTGCTCGGCAACCTCCTCTGGCGTGACCGTCTCCCTGAACACCCCAACGGCCGCCTCCAGCTCAACCCATGCCTGGGCGACGCGAGTGGACGCGCGCATGCGAACGACTGTGCTGCGAACTACGCGGGGGCACACGCGCCCCCCCGCGCCCCAAACGGCACCCCATCGTCGCAAGCACCTACCCTGCTGCATGCACCCCTCCATCGAGGCCCTCAGGCCCCACACCCCCAACCAATCAAACACACACGAAACATCGCAGCAGCAGTCGGCATTGCGCGTCCACTCGCTGCCTCCTCAGCCGCAGACGGGCCGCCCCCAAAGTCGAAATCGTCGGCGGTCGCCTCGTAGACATTAAGGGCCTTGAGCGCCTTGCCGAACTGGAAGAGCCCGCTGGGGCGCATCTTGTCGCCCATCAACTTCCCGCGCTGAATCGCGGAGGGCTCGACGTGCACAACGAGGGAGATGCCCAAGCCCGAGACCTTCGTGATATCATCGAAGGGGCAATCCACAACTTGTTCGGGAGCGATCTTGACGAGCCAGATGGCGCATTGCACGGTGCGCTGGTCGATGCGCGCCATGAGCTTCTTGACCGTATCTGCCTTGACGAACTTCGTCCCAATGCACTTCTGACGAGCGTCGCGCACCTTCGCAATCGTCTCCGGCATCCCGAAGTCCAGGGAGGCGCAGGCGCGCAAGAGACCCTTCTCCTCGGCCGCTGACGCAAGGCTGCCCGCAAGGGTGCGGAGCTTGACGGCTACGTCTTTCAGCTTCTCGATGCAAGTCGCGTCGATCCCTCTGAAGTCGACAGCCTTGGCAGTGAAGTCTGTGAACTTGATCTCCATGGCCGCCAGCTTGGCAGGGTCCTCGCTGATCTGGGGCGCCTCGGCGCCTGTGGCCATGCGCGCTTGAATCCGCTGCTCCAACGAGCTGCCGATCTGCTCCACCAGGCTGGTCGCCCCGCCCTTGCGGAGCTGCCCGCCCCACTCGCCAAGTCCACCAAATATGGCCTCGAAGTTGGCGGGGGTAATGGTGGCCGTGTCAGACAGCAACGCCTCGTACAAACTGATGGTCTCGCCATGCTTGACGTCCGTGCGGTACGCCCTGTTGCACTCGGACACGCACTCCTTCAAGGCATCGCTTAAGGTGAAGACCACGTTCCTCCAGTCCTCGCCTCCCCATTCCTCGCGGAGGAATCTGCGGACGTCGCCTCTGGCAGGGCGCCTCTTCAGCGCGCCAGGGGGCGGGTCCAGCAGCGCCTTCATGCTCTCCGCGAAAGTGTAGAGGGCCTGCGCAATTGGCTGCAGATCCTCGGGCACCTCGTCGCGGAGCTCCTTCGTTCCGACGTGCTCGGCGATGGCATCGGCCAGCTGCCCCAGCTTGTCGAAGTTGCAACGCTCCGCAGAGGTGAGGGGAAGCACGACGTGGTTGAGAATGAACTCCTGGCAGACCTGGGCCCTCTTTCTGATGGGGAGCCCCACTTCGGAGAGAAGGGGCTCGAATAGTGAAAACTCGCCGTGGGCGCCTGTCACAGATGACCCACTCCATGGAATGATAATGTTGACCTTCTCAGACACCGATGTCGCCTCGCGCACGGCTGCCCCGACGAGCTCCAGCTTGAACTTGTAGGCATCGGAGGTCTTGGCATTCTTCAGCTTCTTCAACAAGTTGGCCCTCACGTCCCTCTTCATTGTGTCCACGGCACTGCCACCGACGAGCGCGCAAGTCTCGACGACGTCGAGCAGCTTGCCGTGCGCATTGCCAACCGTTCCCCCGCTGCGCGGCTTGAACCGATTCAAGGCATAGATATTGTCCCCAAACTTGTGACCTTGACCCTTGTCCAGCAGCGTGGCGAGTGAAATCGACATCTCCAGCTCTTTGAGGCGTTCCTTGTCGGGGTCATCGAGCGGCGCGTCCAATTTGGCCGAACTCCTCCCGCGCCTAATGCCCGCACCCGCTGCTGTACCGCTGCTGCGCACCGTCTCTGCGCCACCCACGTCGCTGGCCATGTCAGAGCCCTCTGGCGGTGGCGTGCTGCTGTCCAGAAGTGCAGCGATCCTGCCGCTGCTGGCGCCAGGCGGCGTCGCACTGACAGCGCCATCGAGGCCCCCGCCCCCGGGCGAGCCGTCGCATAAAGCCTTCAGCCGCTCGGCCACACTCCCCGCACGCGCCTTGTCAGGCTTGTGCGGCGTCACGTCTAGGGGCTGCTCGGCCACGAAGCCATTGGCCTTCGCGGCCCCGACTGCTCGTTGCTGCACCTCCGCCACAGTGGGGGCGCCCACGTGCCCGCGCAAGGTCGTCGGCAACATCTGCCTCATGAGCTTCTCTATCGCACCCGAGGCGCTCGCCCCCTGCCCATCGCGGCAGTAGATGCTGGCTTGGAGAGACCATTCCGAAAGAGACCCGTACGTGCTAGACCACTTGCGCACCTTAGTGTACGGCTGGTCGGGGTCGATCACCAAAACGCCGCTCACTTCCGCAGCATGGTGCTCGTTCTTGATGCTGGTGATCCGCTCGCCTGCGTCAGTAGGAGTCAGCGCACTCGCGCCCTTGGGGAGAAAATCCCTCTTGCACTGCTGTTCGTTGATAATCATGCAGTCCGAGAACACCGTGAACCCCGTGTCCGTCTTGAGGGCCACGTCGTGGGGGCTGGAGGCCGCCGAGGCACGGCCAGATGCGATCTCGCAGCTCGTCTCGAAAGCAGCGCTGACATCATGATCTTGCGCTGTCTTCGCGCGCAACGCCGCCCAGGTGAAGTCGGAGTGCCACTGACCACGCACGTACCCCTTGAAGCGGTAGCTGCGCCCGTGGAAGAACTTCGCAATCGGCCCCCCAGGCATCTTCACATCTGGAAATCGGCGGGCATCGCTCTCCACTGCGTCGCAGTAGCCGCGCTTCCCGACCTTCGGCTTCCCATGGGGCGTGGCGCTCTTCTCCCTGATCAGCAGCGGGCCTATGCCTGCGGAGAAAAACGCCCCTGCCGACGCCGCAGCGCAGCTTCTCTTCTTGCCCGCCGCCGCCCCCTTCGGCTGCTGGGTCTTGCCTGGGCCACCCCTGCCCTGGCCCGTACCGCCGCGGCGCGGCCGTTTGAGTTCACGTCGTGGTCCTTCCGAAGAGTCAGACACAGGGTCAGCCTCGTCCGCCTTCTTGGCGGCGCCACGGACCATGCGCAGCACAAAGTCAAGTACAAGGACAAGAAACGTTGATGTGCACCCGCTCGGCGCAAAGACTGCAACTTTGGAGCCAAAGCGGCTACGCGTGAATAAGTGGACGGCACCGGCTGTACCCAGGCCGAGAGGCCCTGAACCCAGGCACGTGGCGTCGGGGCTTAATATGACGCCCCCCATGAGTCTGGAAGTCGCCAGGGGCCTGCCTCGACCTTCTGGACCCTCCAAGCTCGTGGCCCTCTGGGGCCGTTGGCATTTTGGTGGCCCTCAACCCAGACGCGCGGCCATCCCCGGTGCAGATAAAGCTGTATTGGGGCGTTTTCGCTGACCTAGGAGGAGTCGGCTTGCGGGGGGGGTCGGGCGCGCGGGAGGCGGGCGGAGGCGTCGCCGGCGCCCCGCGCCCCCGGGGGGCTCCATGTTGGATTTCCCAGGCTGCGCCAAGCGCGCACGCGTTACTTGCCCGATCGCCCACATTCGCGCAGGCGCATCCGAAGAAACTATGATTCGGATCGGACCCGGGCGACAGAGGGCATGGCGCGCCTGTCAAGGCTGCTTCTGGGAGCGATTGCTGCTGGCTCGACACGCGCGATATGCATGTGACGACTTTTGGAGGACGGGCGCTGCGCCGTCCAATCCAACGCGGCAATGGCGCGGTCCGGGGCGCGCGGCGGTCGCGGCGCACGGCGGTCGACGTGACCGCATGGGGCGCGCGATCGGCCGCGCGGTATTTGCGGGCCATTCGGCCGACGCTGCCGGGTCGCCCTCAAACGGCCCGCCAGGAATACGCAAATGCGCAATGCGCCAGCTCGCCGCCAGGATAACGCCCTGAAAACAACCTGTTCACTCTGAACGCCGACTGCGCGCCTCGCTGAACCAACGAAGTCGCGCGGCGCGCCCGCGCCGCGCGCCCGCCGCAGTGAACTCGCGGGAAAAAGGCCTCTCTCCATGAGTTCTGGCACCGATTCTGGCCTACTTCCCCGTTCTGGCCGATTCTGGTTCCATCGCCGATTCCACCTTTGATTCCGCATTGATTCCGTACTGATTCTTTTGATTCCGCTAGAATCAGGAGTCGCAGTTGCGCCGATTCTGTTTTGATTATGTACTGATTCCGTGCTGATTCCTTTGATTCCCCTGTGCCCCGGAGACCATCAGGCCGCGGCCCGAGCTCCCGCCTCGGCGGCACGGTTCTCCCAGGAGCGCGGGAGAGTTTTGAGGGGGAGGGGGGCGGGGGGAGAAGCGGATCGATTTTTGGAGCGCATCGGGCGGCCGAGCCGCAGATTTCCGGGCCCAGTGCGCACGCCCAACATGGCAGGCGCGGGCGCGCGCGCGAGTTCTCGACCGTCGGCGCATCCGTCAGTTCATGCACCGCCCCGCGCGCGGGAATGGAAACTTGCGTTGCGGTTTCCAGTTGAACGCGCGGCCGTCGCAACTGCGTCGCACTGCTCAGCGCGCAAAGCGCGCGAGCAGCATGGGGGGCTTTGCGTTCTCGCATTAGAAGTGCGCGGGACCGAACCGAACGGTCGGCGGCGCCCGCTCCTGCGCCGCGCGCGAGGCCATCGCGTCAGCGCGGGAGGCTACAAGGGCCTGGGCCGTCGCCCTGGGGCGCGGGCACAGCGCGAGGCCTGCGCGGGTCTCTCGCGCCAAACATGCGCAACAAGGTCGGCCCGCCCGCCGGCTGGCGCTCGCGGGCGACGACGCCAGCGCCGACTGCGAGGCCGACTGGGCCCGGAGGATTCCTGAGAGCCCCGGGAAGGGGCAGCGGGCCGCGATGGAATCGGCGCGGTCGTTGGCGCCCCCCCCGCGCCCGCCCCCCCCCGCAAGCCGACTCCTCCTACGTTGACCCGCGGGCCGCAGGATGGGCGCCTCTAGGCAGGCCAACTAGGGCCCCCCCTGCGAGCCCCGTGGGCCCGAGCGGGGGCCACTTGAGTCACTTGAGGCCCTCTGAAGGCTCTCGCGAAAGACGGGGGGGGGAGGGGGGCGAATGATCGGTGCTCACGCGCGCGCAAGGCGCACGCGCGCCACGTGCGAGCGCGGCAGAGCCTGCGAGCACCACGTGCAATCGGACAGTCTCATGACGAAATTAACGATGATGTCCAGGAGGAGGATGTACAACGGGCCGTAATACAAAACAAAAAATGAACGACTGTGCTTTTGCAAGGCCTAGGGTGTGGCCTGATGTCGGCCCATTTGGCCTCGACAGGCAAGGCCTAGGGCGCGGCCTGGGCTCGGCCCATTTAGCCTCTACAGGCAAGGCCCAGGGCGTGGCCTAGGTTCAACCAGTTAGCCCCTACAGGCAAGGCCTAGGGCGTGGCCTGCGTTCGACCCATGTTGCGGCACTGTCACACAGTCAGAATAAGAGGAGGAGGAGGGGGAGGAGGAGGAGGAGGAGGAGGAAGCGGAGGGGGGAGGAGGACAAGGTGAAGGGAAAGGGGGAGGACAAGGAAGGCCAATAAAGCCCCAAGAAGCCCCAAGATAACCCAAGAGGAGGACCGACACGCAAATTAAAGCCGCCCGCCCCAAGAGGCCCCCAGGGGGGGCCCAAGCGGCCCCAAGACGCCCCTAAGAGGCCCAACAGAAGCACCAACGAGGCCCTAAAGTAGCCCCAGGGGCCCAAGAAGCCCTCGAACTGCCCCCGAGAGACTTCGAACTTGCTTCCAAGAGCTCCGCGATAACCCTCTGAGATCCCAACGAACATCCAACAGGCCGCATAACCACAATTCAGGCACGGTGGCGGGATGCGCTGAAGGCTAAGTAGATACAGCACGAAGGCGCCCCTGCTATCTTGGACTCAACCGTGAACCTATCCCTCGTTCTGGGGGTCGGCGGAATGGCGAAGCCTCCTGAATAAAATTTCAATTCTGGGCCCCACCGTGAATTGGAACACCCCGCCCTCCCTCCCACCATCTCCATTGGCAAGGCCCCGCCACTGGGGTGGGCCCCCCCCTTAGCAAGTGGCGTGAACCCTCGCCCCCCCCCCCCCCCCCCCCCCCTGGCAAGGCCCCCCTGCATCCTGGCCACATCCCTGGCAGAGCCACTTGACCTGAAACCTCGGGCTGAGACGGTGGATGGGCGATGCATGGGGCGAGACTGGGCACGAGGAGGAGCGCGCAACGTCCACTTCGACAGGCCTGTCTCGGCACAACGTTTACTTCGAGAGGCGGCCCCCGCACAACTCTGATGGCGAAAACCTCCGCACAAATGCGAATGCACGCGCTGGCTACCTGCCGAGCGCGCAGGCTGACATGGAGAGCGCGCTGGTTCGACTGCCTCGCACACAGGTTGATATGGAGAGCGAAACTGGCTTAGACTACTGCCTCTCACTGACGAGGCTGCCTCGGAGGAAGCGTCGAGGGCCTCATGCGGCGCTGGCCGGGTGCTCGGGCAACTCTCCGTTGGGGAGGCCGGCGGCAGCCATATCCTCGGGGTGGAACGCCGTCGGCGGGATCGATGCGTCGTCCACCACGTCCCTCAAGGTGGTGTTCGGGTCGATGTCGCCGCCGTCCTTGGAGAAGCTGGATGAGTCGGAGCCCATTGCATGTGTATTATGTACCGATGTCACGAGTGCCGATTCCTGGTGGATCTGCTGGAGCTGGACTCCCCCGAGGAAACTTGAGGACCAGCTTGTCCTTCAGCACGTCCTCCAACTCGCTGAATGGCTTGAACCGAATATGTATGTCCAAAGGTTTCGGCGACACGACCACCCAGTTACCAAAGACGTTGCGCACCCCCCCTAATGTCGCGTGCTGCACCTTCTTCTCGAAGAGCCCGATGCCTGGAAGGGCGGCGGAGCCGTTCTCGTCCAGCTCGGCGAGGGTGCTCGCCTTGATCGCTGACATGCAAGCCACGACGGTGCACGCATCCGTGCCCGCAGAATGCGATACTCTGCGGCCCAGGACCAGGGGGCTCACGGACTTGTGGCTCTGCGACTTATAGAACTTCTCCTCCGAAAAAACGACTCCCATTCATCTGCTTAACCATCGTCTCTGGCGGACATCAAAAGACGCGAGATCCCTCCGAAGTGCGAAATACACAACGGCTTGAAAAAAAGATGGCAACTGACGGGTGCTTGTCCGAAACGCAACCTGGGGCCCTGCGAGGTGACTGAGGGGCCCTGGACACTGGCGAACCGGAATGCGGACGCCGCCACATTTCGTCCGCGGAGGGGCATCAACGGCATCCTTCTGCACTCGACACATGGCAACGCCTGGGGAGCAAAAAGCACATGACCAACTCTACTCGGCATGCGGCAGGGGAGCTCTCGCCTTGGCGCCGCGGACATTAGTTCTCAACGTTCGCAACAATTACGGGGATGGAGGAAGGTAGTTTCCGAAATCGGTAACTCGCCTTGGCACCGCGGACATTTTCGCATTAAAAGCGCGCAGAAGTTACACAGATGGAAGGCGGTTTCTTTTCAAAATGGGACTCTCGCTGGAGATTCCCTCGCAATGTATGGCCCTGAGGCTTGAGATGTCCTACAGTTGCAGGGATGGGGGGCGGGTCGTTCTCAAACTGGAGCTATCGCCCTGGCGCCGCGGACATTCGCCTTGGCGCGTGCGACCGCCCGCGGATTGGGCTCCGACGCATCGGCGCAGGTGCGGCGAAGCGGCCGACCCAAACTGGCGCGCCCAGTCGGTTGCGAGGCCCTGGGCTAGGCCGCGCAGCGCACCTCTGCCCCGCAACCCCGCGAGCCGTCGGTTGGGAAAGCGCCCCCCCCCGCGCCAGCAGAAGCGCGCAACCCCCGATCCGACGCGCGGCCGAGCTGCCAGAGGGGGCGGCAATGCCGCGCGCAGGTCGCCACAAGCGGTGGCTGGATGGGTCAGCCCCATTGAGACGCGCGCGAGGGCCGCGCGGTCGCGGAGCAGGCGCGGGCTCTCGGCGCCACGACGCGGGAGATGACGCACTGGGTGAGGTCTGGGGAGCGGCGATGGCCCGCGACGCTGGAGCTGCCCCGCGGCACGGGCTTCAACGGCAGCGCGTGGGCCCAGCACCCTACTGCGCTGGCGCGCCAGCAACGAGCGTGGCGGGTGAGCGGGTGGGCGCGGGGGGGCGGTCGGGGGAGGGGGGGGGGGGGTACTTGGCAAAATTTCTGCCCCCCCCCCCCCCCCCCCCCCCCATCGCAACAACAGCTGCGCTGTGTGTGTGTGTGTGTGTGTGTGTGTGCGTGCGTGCGTGTGTGTGTGTGTGTGTGTGTGTGTGCGTGCGTGCGTGCGTGCGTGCGTGCGTGCGTGCGTGTGTGTGTGTGTGTTGTTTGTGTTTGTGTTTGTGTGTGTGTTTGTGTTTGTGTTTGCGTTTGTGTTTGTGTGTGTGTGTGCGTGTGTGTGCGTGTGCGTGTGCGTGTGTGGTGTTGTTGTGTTTGTGTTTGTGTTTGTGTGTTTTGTGTTGTGTTTTGTGTTTGTGTTTGCGTTTGCGTTTGTGTTTGCGTGCGTGCGTGCGTGGGGGGGGGGGGGGGGCACTTTGCAACGTCTGGGGCCGCCGCCCCCCCCCCCCCCCCCTCGCGCCCGCCCACCCACCCAAGCCTCGAAACCCACGGTGCCGATGGAATGGTTCGGGCGCCGCGCGCCCACTTGATCAAAGTTGATCGAGCTTGATGGTTCCTTGGTGGGGTTGTGATGGGGTTTTGGTGGCCTTTTGATGACCTGTTGGTGTCCTGCCGATTCAATTGATGACCTATTGATGACCGATTGATGACCTGTTGATAACCTATTGATTAATTATGATCAATTTTGATCCAGTTTGATCAATTTTGATGGTCTGGTCATCCGTCGTGTTCTTACCGATTCTTGATGACCTTTTGATGGCCTCTTGATGACCTTTTGATGGCCGTTTGATGGTCTCCTGGTGGAACCAGGAACCCGATGAGAACGCGGTGGTGGGGGGTCTGGTCGGTGCGCCGCGCTGGCGAGGCCCTCAGGATGGCCAGGTGGTGGCTGGCTGGTCTGCAGAAAGGCGCGCGCGCGCTGCTTGTAGTGTTCCCGCGCTGTGATTGGGGCCGCGCAAGCAACTGCCTGGGCGCGCGCGCTGTCGCATTCAGACTAGTCTCGTGCGGTGGTGAAGGGGGTGGTTAGCGCAATCGGTGCCACGCCCGCGCGCGGCCCTGAGCCCTTGCCCCCGCGCGAACCTGCAACGCGGAGGGGCGATGGGCGGGGACTTGGCGCCAACCGGCTGAAGAGATGGCGCCCGCCAAACGCACCATGGTTGGCACCGTCGAAGGCACCGCCACGGGAGCCTTGAAGCTCCTCCAGGAGCACCTCCAGCGGTCATCAGATCAGCGCTGCTCCGAACTTGGTTGGGCCCCGTCGCGGCCGCAGCCGCGCGCCTCGGTGTGCGCAGAATTTACCCACCCACCGCGTGTCCTTGTCGCCGTCTACGAGAGACAAGGCTCGAACTCGTCATCCTGGGCATTCCTCGCGCCCTCGGCGCCCTCCTGGGCCTCCCTCGCGGCCCCATCCTCTTGGGCCTTCCTCGCGGCCCCGGCGCCCTCCAGGGCCTTCTCGCGGCCTTGGCGCACTGCCGCTTTATCACGTGTCTCGTTGTCTCTGCAGCGGCGCGGCGGTCGTCGCTGCCGCCGCCTAACGCTGCTCTGCGACTGGCGCTTCGCTGAGGCGTGCCAGAAGCCGTTCGGAAGCTCCACGGAAGTCCTTGGCGCTGCCCAGCGCTCGCGCCTTCGCGAGAGAACTCGCGCGCCGACGCTCGGCCGCGCGAGGGGTTCCACGGGTCTGCGCCCGCCCGTCGTCGCCGAATCCTCCGACCGATGTAGAGCGGGCGGCGCCGCCAAATGGACGGGCGCCCGCTTGCGCGACCCGCCAAAAAAAGCCGATGAACAGAATCCCGCGGCTCGCCCGCAACGCGCCTCGCGTTGACCACCGCTGGCCGCGCGCGCAAGACCTCTGATGCGATCGAGCTGGGAGGGCAGCGGTCCGCGCAGCAGCGCGCGACCGACGCGTTCGGCGGACCCGAGATCCGCACCAACGTGCGCCTGCAACGTCGCGCCCAACTGGTAGGCGCAGCGAATTGCGGGCCGCTGCGCACTGCCGAAGAGGATTTGCGCGCGCTGGGGGGCGCGACCCGTCGGGGGAAGCGCGCGCAAAGTCATGGATCGAACTGGGCAGGACTGCGCACACAAGGACTATCGGGTGAAAGGCCGACGCCGCTGCTGGCCCCATTGCTGCGCACCTCCGCCGATGTGCCCATCGCGCTCCGCAGCGCGAACGCAGCGGGCGGCGTCGCGCGCATTCGGCTCGCATTCAACAGCGCGCTGAAGTTCAGCGGTCGGCAACGCACCGAGGACCCCGCGCGGCCGCAGCGGTGGGAGCGCGGTGGGGGGTGGGGGGCTCGGCGGGGCTGGGGGCTCAAGCCAAGGAGCAGCGGCGCGGCGGTCGTCGTTGTCGCCGTCGCCGTCACGCGCAACCATCGCGGCTGCTTCCGCCCAGGAGGCCTTAGATTCCCAAGCACATCGTTGTGCATAGAATGCACCCGCCCACCGCGCGTCCTTGTCGCCGTCTACGGGAGACAGGGCTCGATCCAGTAGCCACCCTCGTCCTCTTGCGGTTCGCACCGCCACTCGTAATAATGTGCGGGCCATTGCTTAGTGGAGGTCCTGTCCTGCTGCCTTCGTCGTAGCACGAGCGATGCGACCTGTCCTTGGCGTGCTGCCACATGGTCACGTGCATCGTTCTCGCTGTCTGTTTTGCGGTCGCCGTTGTCGCCGTCGTCAGCCGCTGCGCGGCATTTCAACGCCGCGCGCGTCGAATGCGCGGCGCACAACATGGCGTGGTTGTATACGCCGCGGCTCCGCGTGGAGCTGCACCCGCCGTTGTCGGCGCGGAGCCATCAGTCGGTGCGACGGCGCGCGCGCCAGTCGCGCTTAGACAGACGGGCCGCTGAGTGTGCACCAAAAACCAGCATAGGCGCTCGCGCGGCTGCTGCGGCGCGCGCGCGGACGCAACCGCAGGAGACGGCGTCTTCGAGCAGACCAATCGGATCGGGGAAGGCGCCGCGCTCGCAGTCGCACCAAATTGGGCCCCCCTCCTGAGCAACACTGGCGCGCGACGCCCTCGAAAGCGGTTTCCCTCGCGAGGGGCGCAGAGCATCTGCGCACTGCAGAGTGCGAGGGGCGACCGCGCGCAATCGGGAAGGGGCTTCACAGCGTCGCGTCGCACAGAACGTCTGTGCTGGGCGCTCGCTCGCGGCGCAGTCGCTGCAGCGAAATGCGCGCGCATGGCGCGTGCCCCGCCAACGCCACAAGGTTCGCCACTGCGCAGCGTTGCTAAGCTGCGGGCAAGCGCGCTTGCAACGCGCGCAACTAAGCGCGTGCCCGAACGCTCGGTTCGGACATCGGCCACAAGGCTAAAGCAACTCGGGGACGCCACGCGCGGCGCTCAGATATTCGCGACGCGACGGGCGCAAGTTTAACTCGCAGCTCTCGCGAAGCGTGCGCTGCCAGACGGGGCGCAATCCTTCGCGCCAGCAGTCGGCGTCCGCAACAAACGGCGCGCCGCCGAAAGACATGCTAACATTGTTAGGCACGCGCCCAAATACACTTGCACGTGAAACTCGGCATGTTAACGCTTCTTGTTGCAATGCACATAACTGGCCGCTTAAATGGACACGGCCAGGCGCGCCGACATGGGCAATTGCCACATTGATGGAGGGATGCCCCTTTTCAGAACGAGCTCCCGATAAACACATCCCTCCGATTGTTGATTATACTGGCACTTCCAGCTGCGCGGGTGGTGGGTTGCTCCTGGGTAAGGGGGTAACCCTGGGATCTATGCGAGACGGTCCGAGTTGCCTGAATTGGTGCGGGGCTGATCGTCCGTCTCTTCGCTTGCTCCTGGCACTGGTGTCGGAGCCGACCTCGCAGGCATGGCGGGTCGCACCCTGGCGGGCGGGCATCGGGCAAGCGCGGCGCATTCGGGCCCTCGGCGAGGCCAGCCGACCCCTCGAAACAAAAACTGGAAACGCCGAACCACCCAGAACATCCCGTGGGCAGCGTCGTTGTTTTCACTGGGGCCCAGGACCACCCTGAGGAAAGCGGTTGCCTACATTAATACCTGCGAGCGCGTGCCTCAACGACCGAGCGCCAGCGATGCCCCGACGCGCACAGGGCAGGGGTGGGGCGAAGCGGCACAGAGCGAGAGGGGTGCTGGCGAGAACTGGAGAGAGGCGGCGCGGCGAACATACCGAGGGGGGAGAAAGGGCGGGCGAGTGAGAGGGGTGACAAAGGCAGAGGGGGATAGAGGGAGGGTGAGCATAATGAGGGGGAGGGTGAGGTTGCAAGCAGAATGAGGGGGACAGTGCATATGAGGGGGGGGAGGGCGGGTGTTCAGCATAATGAGAGGGGGGGGGGGGGGTCAGGACACTGAGAGGGGTGACTAGGACAGAGGGGGAAAGGGGGAGAGGGCCTCTGCAGGGGGGGCCCGTGGGGGCGACAACATTTCACTTCGGTGTAGACCCGGGCCCCTCGGGCTCGCAAGCCCTGCGAGGCCGCTCGAGCCCGAGCATCGCCGCGACGACTGGGTCGCCCGCGGCGAACAGCAGCCGATCGCGAGCAGCCTGCCTGCTGGCCTGCGAGGGCTCCCAGCCGTGCACGTGGGCGTGCTGCGTGTTCACGTGGTCGGGGCGGTCGCTATGCCACGCCGGCAGGAACGCGAGCGGTCTCCCCTGCCCAGCCCTTGCAGCAAAAGGGCTCCCCCGAGCAGCGCGGCTGGTGATGCGCGCAGCGTGGGCCGCGCACTCAGCAGCGAAGCGCGGGCTGCCGTGGGCATAGTACTTGATCTTGCCGCCTGGCACGTGGAACACGCGCTCCGCCGCCATGCGATCGCCTCCCGCGCGGCGGGCGGGATGCGGCGGCGGCGGCGGCAGAGGCGCGTCAACCTCGGGCCCCGCGGGCCCAGGCAGCTGCGCGGCGGCGCCAGCGAACAGCGAGGCGTCGGCATCGACAGGGACAGGCAGAACCTCATCATCTCCTCCGCCGCAGCTGCCATCGAGCCAAATCGGGCCCACGCCGTCGAAGTCGTCGTCGCTCCACCCGAACAATGCCCAACCCTCCTCGTCGAAAGGCTCATCCTCGCCGTCGCCGTGCGACTCGTCCTCCTGGGGTCGGAACTCGACCTCGCCCTTGTCACCTCCAGTCTCGCCCCCGTCACTGACGTCCTCCAACGCCTCCGCGAAAGCAGGCGGCGCCGCCCCCATCGGGCGCGGCCCGCGCTCCGGCCTGTTCATCGGGTGGGCCTTCCTTTTCCTTGGCTTCGGGGGTGGTGGCTTCGAATCCCAGAGCTCCTCCTCCAGCATCGGCGTCGACAAGATCCGCTGTCGGCTCGGCCGACAGGCTGCAACCCTGCGGGCGTCTGCAACCAGCTCATGCACGCGAACGGTGATCGACTGCTTGTCCCACGCAGCATTGAAGCGCTGGCGGGCGCCTTCGAACACCGTCAGGTCGCCGAGCACAGCAGCGCCGCCGTCACCTTCGCCGACCACCTGTGGAGCAACTCCCGCCACGCCAGGGCGATTCCCCAGCGGCTCACAGCGCATGCGGGCGAAGGTTGGCCTCCACGGCCGCCCATGATGGAGGGCGACGTTGTGCAAGCCCTCAGCGGCTGGCGCATGGCCTGCAGGGACAATTGCAGACTCGCCATCTGCGCCAGGAGGCGGCGCTGGGCCCAGGGCCGAGACGCCAAAGCAAGTGAACCTCAGCGCCAGGACGCCGCTCTCCAACTTCGCGTTGAAGACCTTCTCGCCAAGGCGGTGTGCCAGGACGCGCCACATGACCGACAACTGGTCGTGGAACTTCTTCGCGATGGCAGAAGCACCTGCACATACGCAATAACCTGCTTCCCAACACCACCGACGCGGCCTGGCGGGCGCGTGCAGCTTGGGGCACTCGGCCTCAACGGTGCGGGGGTGCATGCGCCTCCACTCATCTGCTTCCCGCTTGACTCTACTGATATCCAAAGCTCGAAGAACCTCAGACAAGATTGAAGTCGGCGTCCTCGTGTACTGCAAGGTCGGAACAATCGACTGCTGGACCGTCATGCCCGCAGCGACGGAGGTGGGCACCTCCCCAGCAACAAGGTGCCATTCCTGGCCAAGTCCAGACTTGTCAGGCTCAGATTGCCGATGGAGGCGAGCTGCTGTCGCCCTCATCTCCTCGCCCTCTCGCTTCATCGCGGCACTGTGCAGCTTCATTTCCACGAGGGCGCCCTTCAGGATGATGCTGACGGAGGCGAAGGCGGCCGCCTCCGCGGCTGACATCACGTCGTCGGCGCCGCCCTCGATTGCAATACCACTCGGCTGCGCACAACCTGACCTACCCAAAGGTCTCGCACGGGATGGCCTCGCGCTGGGCCCGAACGCCCGCCGACCAGCCACGTGCTCCTGGACGGCAACTGCGGCCAAATCCTCGTAGGGCGCGCGCTGCTCGGGCGTGAGCATGGGGCATCGGGCTGAAAGCTCACCCCCGAGAGCCTGGTCAACGAACGCGCCTCCAGACCCCAGGCGGGCGAAAGCACGCCAAACCCAAGCATTGAAGTTGCGACGTGGCTGCTGCGATGGAAGCTCCTGCTTCTGCCACTGCCTCTTAGTCTTGGCATCCGCGTGGTCACCCCACGCTCGGAATACGCTTCGCTGCCACTGCCGCAGCTGGCCGAACAAGAAGGACCCAGACAATGACATAGCGCCCATCTTCCACGTGGCCGACCGAAACGTGATGCGACGCAAGGTCTGGCTGTGAGCACGCTCCGCAACGGCAGAGCTGGCCATCATCAGCTGCAGCGCGCCAGACAGCTCGGCCTTCGCCATGGCACCGTCGACGCCACCTCGATCGGTGTAGTAGTTGACGACGCCCTCGGCGCACGTGTCAAGGGTGTACTTGGGCCGAGCCGCCAAACTGCGGAGGGCCTCCAAATCTCGAAGGGCGCTGTATGTAGCGCATGGCGTCGCCCTGCGCCTGACTTCGACCAGCTGGCACGCGGCCGCAGACAAGCGGGAGCACAGCGTGAAGACCTGCAACTGCTGCAGCTCGGTGGGGCTTCGCAGCAACGGCCAGCCGCCATTGACAACCATGTCGCAGACCTGCTCCCTGAAGCGCCTGACGTCCGTGCGGTCAGCTGCCCCCCACAAGGGGCGGGTGCGCTCCCCTGTCTCGAGAACGCGCTGACGCTGTTTCAGCTCCCACTGGGCCCCAGTGCGCTCGAGTTCCCTCAAAACCACATCGCTGCATGGCTCGTGGGAACGAGCGAAGAGGTACAGGGAGTCGTGAAACGATCCGCTCACGATCCAATCGATGGCGCGGGAGATCTCGGCAACGTTGCCCTCCCCCCAGACGCTGACAGGGATGGTCTTCTCGACGTCGCGCTCGAGCCCCTCCGCGCCGAGGTCGCCATCCAGGCCGTCGCCAGCGCCATCTGGCCCGTCGACCTGCGTGCACTGGGCACCGAACACAACAAGGAACGCAGACGGCAAGAGGTTGTGGACGAACGATGCAAGGCCGAGCCCACCGAGGCAAAGGTGAGCACCTGTCCAGTTCTGCCGATCCATCACGCGCCAAACGTTCGTGACCAACGCCTTGAGGCCAGCAGTCTGCATCACGTACAACGTCTGCGCCCTGGATTTGCAGCACCCGCGACATATATGCTCTATGCGGTCTGACCGCCGCAAGTCCCCGTTCCACAACCCCTGCAGCAATCTCCGCCGAAACTTGTCCCCAAAGGAACGGACGGGGAGCCGCGCATCGTACGCATGTCGGCTGAACTCGGCGGCCTCATCATCCAACTCACCACCATCGATGATGACGAGCCGCTCGGCAATGATGGTCCTCATCGCCTGCATGAGGCGGAACACCTGCCCTTGCATCGCGAGCTGCATGCGAACAATCATCGTGTCAGTTGGCTTCTGGATCCCATGGCCAAGAGTGGCCACTTTGTTTTTTTTTGCGTGCATCACAAAAGAGGTGCAGCAGGGATGGTGGGGGATGCGCAACATGCGAACGATGGTTCTCATATTTGATATTGGCCCCGTGCTCCAAAGTCATCGCTCCTGGGGAACACCACGTCCAGCTCGCCATCGGCATCTGACCTGATGTGGGCCAGCGCCGCATGGACAGACTCCGCCGCCGCCCCGTCCGTCGTGCGCAGCACCGTCGGCTCTCGGACCTGCAGCGTTAGCAGCTCTCGGGCCGAAGGCTGGCCTTTCATCATGCAAAAGGCCCGACTCGCAAACGAAGTGTAGACCTCGAATTCGCCAGCAACTGAAGCAACGGCTGCGGCTCGGACTCCGCCCTGCGTGGTCACGGTGGAATGCACTCTCACGCGCTGCTTGGTCCCGTCGTAGCAACGAAACCGAAAATGCACGAGAGGCTGGAGCCGAGATCCGCCTTGGCCGCCACCCCTGCAGATCCCCAGCACAGACTGCGCGAAACGATCCACCGACTTCCGCAACACCTGGTACGTGCAGTGAGCGATGGCACCGGCTGTGTCGCGCCAAGTGCTCTTGGCCAGGCCGCAAATCTGGCAAAGCTTCTTTGCTGATGACAACGCCGACGGTCGGGCCGCATCGGCGTCCAGCAAGAACGCGGCGGTGCGAGGCACGGCCGACTCAAACGCCACCTCGGGGGTCGGCTCGAGGGCGTGCACGGCAGCTCGAGCGGCGGCTGGCAGGATTCTGCGGCCGCGTTTCGCCACAGCTGGAGGCGTGTAGGCGTCCGCAGCGCTCAGCACCAACGGGCCGAGGCCGAGGACAGGATGACCGCCTGTTGCGCCCGCCGCCCTCGCAGCCGCGGCGACCTGCAGCTCGTCGGAGCTGCCGCCGAGGAAATCCTCGTCGCTCACGCCGTCTGCGACGGGTGCCCCGTCGCCGCAGATGCTGCCGAGGAAATCCTCCTCCTCGCAACTGCCGCAGATGCTGCCGAGGAAATCCTCATCATATGCATCGGCCATTCGTCACGGGTGGCGATCGGCCCGAAGATAGTTTGAGCCCAAATGGTCACGGATCGGGTGGAGGAGAGGGAGGAAACAGGATATATTTCAGAAAGAGGGGATGTTACTGCTTGCTGTTGCAGTATACCTAACTGGTTGCTCAACTGGAAACGGCCAGACGTGTCGAATTGAACAATTGCTACAATGGTGGAGGGCTGATCCTTTTCAGAACGAACGTTCGTTACTTCCCTGAGTTTGTCGATTGAACGCGTTGGCATTTTTAGCTGCACGGATGGTGGGCGGCTCCTGGACAAAGGGGGCAACCTGGGATCTCTGAAAGACGGTCCAACTACCTGGATAGGGGCGGGACGGATCGGCTGCCTATTCGCCCTCCCTGCGTTCCCCCCCCCCCTTCCCTTTATCATCCCTCCCTCCTCCACCCCCCCCTCCACCCCATCCTCCCTCTCCCTCCCTTCCTCCTCCATCCTCCCCCCTTTCCCACCATCCTCGCTCACTCCTCCCTTTTCCCTCATCTTTCTCCTTTTCCTCCTCCCTCATAGTTCCCTCCTCGTTTTTTATTAACTGACGCGCTGTCTGTTTGCATTCGTCGGAGGAGTATAATAAGTGATGATCAAACCAGGGGAAACCTGAGACGATCGAGGGTTTCTCGCGTCGAGACGCGGCCCATCAAACCCGTGCTCCAGGACTCTCGCACCGTCTGGCGATCGACCAAGGGGGCAACTCCGAAATCTCACGGTCCAACCACCAAGCCCCCATCAACCACAGACCCTCGACCTAGGCCCTACTCGAAGTTCCAAGCGTAATTCGCATCCGTATGCCCTGCCACTGCTCCTCAGTCAGCGCAGTCACTCTGCCTAGCCGCCGACGTTTGACTACGCGTGTCTCTGCATCACTCCCGCTGTCAACTCTCATGGGCATCGTTTCTGGAGGGGCTGGTGGGGATACGTTTTTTTGGTCGGCGGCTCCCAGGCGACGGTCTAGAAGCGGGTCAACGTCCGTGGCGCGGAACGAAGATAATTGGCCGCAGTGGCGTGTGCACATGCCAGGGACAAAATGACCCTCATTAAGACGCCAACGGCGTCGGCAGGTGACCGGCACAGACATCCCAGCAGGTGGGGACGCCACGGCGCGGCGACCGGCGGCGGAACGGGGGGGAGAAGTCGCCCTTTCGGCGCCAAGCTCCAGCCGAACCACAAGCTGGTGAGGATACACGAAGCGTCAAGAATTCGCATTCGTAACCGACTACCTGTGATATTAAACCCCTGGGGATAATAAAAATCGGGGTCTGGGAGGATTTGTCCCGGCGGAGGGTGATGGTGATGGTGATGGTGATGGTGATGGTGATGGTGATGGTGATGGTGATGGTGATGGTGATGGTGATGATGATGATGATGATGATGATGATGATGATGATGATGATGATGATGATGATGATCCTGGGCGCTCGTGTAACTAGATCCTCTCACAAAACTGTCCTTAGTGCCCTCGAGTCTCGCGCTCCAAGGTGGCCTGCGCAGGAATGGTTCTTTGAAGTTGGCGTGCGTAGGAGAGCTCCTTTTAAGAGTGTCCTGCGCTTCAAGGTGTTGCTGGTCAGCATAAGAAGATAGCAAATTCGATTCGCAACTTTCCCCGGCGATAATCCAGTTCGGCAACGCCGCCCCTCTGCACAATCAAATCTGTCCGACCCGGGGTAAACAACCACTCAGGGGTTAAGGGGAGGGTACACGTTATCCGGGATTAGGGGTTATGCCCTACCTTCTTTGGACGCCCGAAATGGGTACGGAAAGAATGGGTACAATGCCCAACAAAAATTGCGGCCCCAAATGAACAGCGGCCGCTGTTGGGCAGGCGGCATTCTGTCGCGAATGGACACAGTCCGCCTCGGCGTGGATCGCGAGCCCTGTTCAAAATGAACAGGAACTGCTGTTGGGCATTGTACCCATTCTTTCCGTACCCATTACCAGCGCCAATCACTCGGCCTAGCCGCCGGCGTATCAAAAGTGTGTGGGCATCACGGCTGGGGGCACGCAGCAGTCATCCCAGATGCCACGGGCCCTCTCTCCCTTCAAGACGCCAGAAGGAGGATGAGGAGCAGGAGGAGGGAGGAGGGAGGAGGAGGAGGAGGGAGGAGGGCGGAGGAGGAGGGATGAGGAGGAGGCGGAGCCCATGGCCGCTGATCGTCGCCGCGCATGCCTCGAGCCTCGAACCTTTCTCCCCCTCCTGCCGCGCACGGGGCCCCCTCGACCCGCCAGCCGACGCCTTCGGGAAGTAGTACCCCGCGGCAGGTTCGCGCCGCGTCGACCCCCGCCTTGGTCGGTGACACCGCGGGGATCGTTCAAACTCGAACGATTGGCCCTTCCAAAAAGGCCAGGATCGTTCGAGGATGCGCCGTTCGGCGTTCAACCTTACACGCCCGCGCTGGGGTTGGCCGCAGGTCGACGCGACGCGAACCTGCCGTGCACGCCTGGCGTGGCGGCGGGGCGCGCCGATGCGGAAGGGGGGAGGTGAGCCCATGGCCAGCCAGAGCGCTCGGATACGTGTCTGCGCGTCCTCGTACAACGCCCGAACGCCTGGAGCCTCGAACACAAACTAAGAAACGAGAACCTCGGCAACATCAACGAAGGAAGCCCTCGAGCCTTCAATCCGCAGCCCCTGAGGTCCCGACCTGTGCCCTGGGAGTCGCTCTCGTCACGGATTCATCCTGTTGGCGCAGGGCCCAATAATGGGCCCTGGAGGCTGCAATCAACGATGTTTCCAAAATGTGTCTCTGTTTAGTCTTGTGACGTGAGTCCCCCTTTCTCGGGCGGCCCGTAAGAAGGCAAGAGGCGGGATGCAGGAAAACAAACCTCTGGGGTTGAAACAATACTTCGTTGGAAATCTGGCAGCCTCGAAACCTCCGTCCACATCCTGCCGCGATCGAGAAGCCCCCGACACACCCGTAGCCGCCGGAGGCTCGCGCGCGCGAGAGCTCCAACCGCTCCCCCCCTCCCTGGGTGGGCCTTCGAGGAGCGCGCCTTCTGCTCCTCGAGCACCTGCAGCAAGGAGAAGGGAGGATGGAGGAGGAGGAGGAGGAGGAAGAGCAGGTAGCAGGAAGCGGAAGGAGGGAGCAGGAAGGAGGGAGGGAGGGAGGAGAGGGAGGGGGCAGAGGCGGCGGAATCCCAGTCCAAACCACTCCACTCCTGAAGATTGAGGGCTCCGACAGCACCGTTAAGCTAGACTCCTGAGCGTCGATTGCGCGACGGCCTACTCTCAATATGGATCGAGCCCGGCCCTCGAAGCCCACGCAGGCCCCGATCGCGCTGCCCAATCTAGGGCAATCCACCGTTCGGGCGCGCAGGCCTGGCGGATACCATTTGAGGACCAGCGTCGATCAGGTCAGAACTAGAATGAGGAGACTCTCCAGAATCTGAGTTTGCTGCACCCGAGGGTGCCCCTCATGCACGCTCTCGTTCTACAAAGAAGGAGGTTGCAAGGGCATGCTGGTGCCGCACAGGAGCTTGACTTGAGACAGAAATTTGGAGCTGCTCAAGGGGAAAACTGGTGTTGCCCCTACTGCTTCTCTATATTTCCTATCCGTTTGCGTTATAGGCAGTGTCACACTTCCTTCAGTGCTTCTCCCTCCGGAAACACACCCTCCCGTCCGAGTCCTCACCTGACGAGTCCCCGCAGGCCTTCCTCTTCACTGCGGGAAGCGCCCCCTGGAAAGACCAGCACCCAAGTGGGCCTGCTATGCAGGCGAGGGCCCCATGCTGAAGAGGAACTGCTGGGAACCCTTCCAGCGAAGATCCAAGGGGCTCAGGAACCCACACATTAACTCACACACGCACACACAAGCCCCAGGATTCCCTATATGTTCCTATAGTTTCTGTGCTTTCGGCTCCCCCACTACTGTCCAGAGTTTTCCATCTTTTCTGGGGGATACACGATTCATGCTGTCTGTGTGTCTTGTTTCCTCTCCTGGTTGAAAACCTTCTGGCGAATAGTCCGCCGACCCTGTCGGCATATGAGAGAGGCTTCGCGACAGCCTTGCAGAGCCCACCGTCCCAGACCTCTGCAGAGCCCAGCATCCCAAAGCGCTGCGAGGTCAGGGAATGGCGCGTTTCAAGGGTCGCCAGCCCGAGGGAACTTTCCGAATCGCAGCGAACTCGAAGGGAAGCCCCCTCCCTCAACCCCTTCCTCGACGGGGTGGGCGAGTCCCGGGGAGGATCCCATGGGAGGTCCTGAGGGGGCCCTCGGGTCCTAAGATCGGTCGGGGAGGCCGGGGCCAGCCGAGCAAGCGCCCGGGGAGTGTCCCTGGAGAGGTGTTGGAGCATCGTGCGCTCCCTTCCCTTCTCCTTTTTGGTCAATCCTCGAGAGAAATTGGCCTTCTTGCGGCAAGAACGCACCAAGATGACCCCAGAAGCCTCCAAGACGGCTCAAGAAAGCCTCGATGGGACCCCCCCACGAGGGCCAACTCCTCTCCCACCAACTCCCGCCTCTTGCGCTGTTTCTGATCTCTTTTCAGGGTCGGCGGAACTGGTGGTAAGGTCTAGGTAATAAGGAATGCGGAAAGGTATGACCATTTACACCGTTCGACAACAAGATGGTCAGCGAGATCCGAGTTGTGAAAAAGAGCCACCCTTCCCATTTGCGTCAGGGCCGCACAAGTAAGCTGCACCTGGCGGACGTCTCACGTGATTGCACCATTTTGAAAATGGGCCGCCCTCGTACCGCGAAGCTGAAACAGATGTGCAAATGTAAGGGCTGCAAGTGCACGGAAATATGGGCCCCATGATTTTTCATTTGTTGCCCCCATAAAATCCTCCAACCTCCATCCTCCATCCTTGAAACCGTTGCTGTTGAACCCAAGGTGCTCTGCGCTGAAGCGGGAACCGCATTTTGAAGAGGAGCAATCTCCATCCGTGACACTATCGCATGCTTTGAGAAACTGCATGTGCGCGGCACCACGGCGGGGACTCCATTGTAGGAAGGATCCACCCTCCATCCTTATGACAATTGCATACGTTTTTGAACAAGTTCACGCAGAACTAAGGCGGCAGATCCATGTTGAAAGCCATCCTGCTTCACCTTTGTCACTATTGCACACGTGTGCAACGAATGTGCGCGGCGCTAAGACAAGAGCTAAATCTTGAAACAGACCCCCCTCATCTTTGCAAAAAGCATCGAATTGTGAAGACGAATGCACGCAGCGCAAAACGAAAACCACATGGTGGAACTTCCCCCCTTCATCCGTGTAACTGCTGGATGTGGCTTCAAGCTCCGGTGTCACAATCTGCGAAGAAGTCTGTGACAATCCGCACGGCAAACCCTACCGAGACGTCTGGTGGTCAAACGAAGACGATTCATCTACAGGGAAGAAGGAGTCGAGGAGGGGAGATGGGAGGAGGAGGGAGGGCAACCTGGGCGAAATGCAAAATGACTCAGGGCCGTTGGGGAAGGTGGCAGTACGCCAGCCGCGGGGCCATTGATCAGAGGAGTTGGATTCGAGAAGGGGATCGTCTACACAGTTGCTTTACTCCCATCTGCTCGCCGAATCCACCAAGAAATGCGCATACGGCTCGTAGATCTACAAACATTATGCACATTCGGTGAACGTTCAAAGAGAAAGTCAAGTCTGGGGTAAAGCAATGTTTCAGCCGATCCCCTACTCGATGGAGGGGGCAGGGGACGACGGGGCGGGCGGGCCGCCGCCAACGAGGCAGGAGGCGCGCGGAGACGCGCGGCCACCGCGCGCAGCACGCGCGACTCCTAAGGCGACGGCGGGCCCGCGCACCCGGGAGGAGGAGGGAGGGAGGAGGGAGGAGGGGAGAGGAGGGAAGAGCAGGAGGAAGAGGCGGGGGGAGGGAGGAGGGAGGAGCGACGTGTTTCTCAGTTCGGAGGACAGACACCTGGAGACCAACCGACGAATCTTCGGGGAGGGAGAGGGAGAAGGGAGGAGGGACGGGGTAGGAGTGAAGAGGAGGAGAGAGGATGCAGCACGATCGAGGCAGGACGGAGGGTGGAGGAGGACGGAGGGGGGAGTGAGTTGGATTGAGGAGCGAGGAGACGGAGGAGAAGCGGGGTAAGCTGGGATGGGACGCGATAGAGCACGAGGAGGGTGGAGGAGAGTGAGGGGAGGAGGAGGAGGAGGAGGAGGAGGAGGAGGCGGAGGAGGAGGAGGAGGGCAAGGGGAGCGAGAGGGGAGGGAAGGGAAGGGACATGGGATCGGAGTCCAGTCCGCGAGGGCTCGGATGTGAATACGTCCGTCGCTTGTGACCTGGGGGGTCCGCGGAGATCCTGGGAGACCTCTCAGAGACCCCCTTGGGCCCCCAAGCCCCCCCCACCCCCGAATTCCACCAGCTATTCCTGGCCCTCCTTGCAAAGCCTCCAGAGGACTCAACAAGCCTCCAGAGGCCCAGGGGAAGCTCGGGAGACCTCCAAAGACATCCTCGGCCCCAACAGTCCTCCCTCCCCCGAATTGAGTCGTAGACCCTCTTCGCAACCCCTGGCCCTGCTCTGAGCTGGGCAGGGATCGACCGTCACAGCCGTCTGACAAGGCTACCACGATCCCCCTTCTGAGCAAGCACCATGCTCCTAGCGCGCCACAGCCCCGTATTCAAACAGGACTGGAACAAATCGAAACGTTATTAAGCACATGCTCCAAACCTTAGCAGGATCAAAAGAACATTCTTCTACTACCCGACTGAGATTCGGACAAATGGGGGGCTCTCCTGAGATCCGACGTTGCGAAACAATGCGCCATCGTGAAAAAGTCACGGCCGGAGTCCTGGACCCGATCTTGCTGCGCCAGTTTTCGAGCCGGATCGATCTGCGAGGTTTTCGAGGCTTGAAGCTGGGCGAAAACGCCTGGCTCGAAACAAATAAAACGCCAGGGTCTCACGGGTCGGAGGAGGCCGCCAACATCGACATGCCATCGGCGATGCATCGCTGGTCCATCGCCGACCTGCCCCCGGTTGTCGAGGCGGCGCGCTCGAGCGCACGGGGTGCGCCGGCGCCGAAATCAGCGAGGCATGGGGGATCTCAGGACAACTTGCTCGGAGAAGGGGGAGGACCTGGGAGCGCTCTCTGAATCCCCCCGGCCGTCTACACTCGACAAGGATAGTGAGGCTGCGCGGTAAGCATGCAAGGGCCTTGGAACGCAATGTTGACGTTTTCCGTGCTGAGCGCAGCAGAATGCCGAAGGATGCCGAATACCGAAGGGGCAAGGATGCAAGGGTAGCCTTGGAAAGTTGCCCCATCCTTACAATCATGGTTGACTGTAGGGCGTGAGTGGTGTAGCGAGATTCCTCTTCTATCTTCCCTCTCCCACTCCGCGGAAGGGTTTCTCACTGTTCCCTGTTGATAAACGCCCACTCCCCCAGGCGACTGGCAGCCAACCAGGACCTACAACATCCCCCACACCACCATCCCTGTCAAGAAACAAGACAACATACACTTCGGGGCAACTTGTTGGGTCAGGCTCGTGGGCCCCGCGAGCACTGGGGGGGTATCATCATGCTGCGCGCAAGGCCACCATCCGCATAACAAACAAAATGCAATGTGCACTTCGCGGCTGAATGTGAATCGTGCGCGGCCACCCCGCGGTCACTGAGCATTGGCTTGTGACAAGGACTGCGGGTGTGATGGCATATGTCCTGCTGTGCGCAGGCCCACCAGACACCATGATGGCCACCCCGCCGCGATTGCGCGCTGATTTTCGACCAGGAAAGTGGGAGCCGACATGTTTCCCGATGAGTGCTGTCACGTGCGCGGGCACACCTCGCACACTTTGCGCGTGCCCGAACGTGGTGCACCTGGCACTGCTGGAGCATGCGGCACACATGGCGCACGTGACGCACGTGGCGCATCTCGCGCGGCAGGCGTGCCTGGCACTCGTTGGCCGGGGGGGTGCCTGGCGCACCTGGCGCGCGTGGCGCGCCTGGCACGAGTGGCGCACCGCGCCCCAGCATCGCGCACATGGGGTCTGCGTTCGGTTCCCAATAAATGCCCGTCCATGGACGGCCGCTGTACGCGCTGAGGCTCGGGTGGTACG